GGGGGGCGTGTTCTTTTCAAATCAAGTACGAAAACCAGATGCCCGCTTGCTCCATGGAAATCCACTTGAATCGATGGGGGAAGTTACGAGTACTGGAAGAAGAACCTGAAATGACTAGCTCGATGGGAAGCTTGCCATACCTTGCCATGCGGCCCAAGTGGCGATGGGTTCACATAAATGGGTGGATACATTGAGCTTGAGTGGACTGCTTCTGGCTGCTTTACCTCCGCACCCCCTGGGGTTTTTGGAAGAGGTGGGGTGAGGAGCTCCCGTTTCGGTGAGGTTGGTGGCGCAGCTCAGCGAGGCCTGCGAGCTCCGCTACGACGAGATGCTAGGCCGTGGCAATGTCTGTAGCCTTGTCACCTGGTTGGCTTAGCGGAAAATCCAAGATCCAAAGACCTTATTGAGGCTGACGGAGTCGTGAGTCGGGAAAAGGCAGTGGCTTAACACGGGTGTTTCCCCCTAAAAGTGAAGGAGTTGAATCCTGCTCCGAACACGGTTGCCTGATGCATTTGGCCAGTGGTGACCTTCAGCCGACCTAGAGGCTTCCCTCGTAAAGCGGGCAATTTTCGCATGCGTCCTTTACGGAAGTTGAAGGGAATCCCCCTTACCAAACAAAAGGAGGGACCACAGGGGTCCGGTGGGCAGGCTTCGCGTGGTTGCAGCGCTGCGACTCAGTGGTGGCCTTGGTGCAGGCCGCGGGCAGTTTGCCGGGTTTGGCTGGGGATGAGCGAAGCGGGACGGTCACTTTGACGTCAGGCAAGCGAGCCTAGAACAAAAAGAAGGCCCATGTGCCCTGTTGGGTTCCGGTTGGCTTACTGTTCGTCACAGATGTCAAGGTCACGCAGGTATCTTCGGGGGTACTCACCCCTTAGATATCAACGTTGCCTTGCATGGCTCATTTTACTCATATTGATGCTACACCGGTTTCATTTGCTGACACGTCCCATCTAATTTCACCAAGCTGTGGGTACTGCTTATAGAACAGGAGCAACAACACAAGAACATTACGTACCAGCAGTACTGCACCTTACCGGGACGCCCGTAGACATGGATCCCCAAGGACGGCCCAGGCGTCATAGAGGCTAGAAGCAGGAATGTCCAATGTCAGCAGGATATGTTTGGAGTTGCCCACGCCAACACAAGAGGATACCCACATATCAGGGTGCATTGGCCTCCTCCACCCCCATATTATGGTTGGTTTGTTGATCAGTCTGTCTGTGAAAATAGGGGAGCAAAAGTAACGACTTTGTGCCGGTATTTGTTTGGCAGGCGGGGAAGCACTGTGGCAGTTGCAGATGGTGTTTGTTTTGGTGAACCCTGCCAATTGGTCAACAGGGGTTGGTGCAATCCAGGCTTGCTCGTTGGTTGGATGACCAACGTTGATTGGCTTGCGGTGACGGGTGTGTGGCCCGGCACCTTTGTTCAAGGCAAACAAAAAGGGGGCCCTTTACTGCTTTTCACGTCCACTGGGTTCAGGGCATCCACTTTGGCCGAGTTGAAGGCCCCGCGCAGGCCTTGCCTGCGAGAAAATGGGCGGAGTTCAGAGACTCCTTGCAGCTGGAGGACGGACGCACCCAGTCACACCCAGCCCATGTTAGCTTTTCCAGACATTGAGCGATGAACGAGGAAACTTACGAGGAGCAGGAATGACTTTGCGCTGATGTATCCTTTCCTCGGGTCACAGACTCCCTGCCACACTTGCGGCTTTAGGCTAGGACGATGATTTCACAGCTTCTGGAAAATCGGCCTGCATGGATGTTCACCCCACTTCGTAATTAAGTAGGATGGCACCATTGTGTCCACACCTTTCTTGGCCTGTCCTATCAAGGTGGGTGGGGGTACCTGACGTAGGTTGAAATGGTTGTGCAAGACCTGGGCTGTAGGGTGGGGGACCTGCTACATAGGGCCTCAAGGGCAGCTGGGTTTGCAGATGGCACTCATTCTTTACCGAGAAGGAATTTACTTCCATGTTGGTTTGGTCATCCCCGAACGGCACTTGTGGCCGGACGTCCGGTCTCAGGAGCGCTTGGAGTTCAACGAGGGGGACGTGGGGCTGCCTGGGGGGCTGCAGGTCCTGGAGCCCGGCAACCTGCACCCCACCACGGAGGAGGGGGAAAAATGCCGGGCTTGCTCCAACTTAGGGAGGGGCGGAGGCGGCGAAACCGCTGGCGGGGGAGCCAATGGAACGAATGGAATCGCAGGACGGGATCTGGCGCTTTGGCGGCTCGGCCGCGGGCTCCATGCCCTGGCCAGAGGAGCGCCTCAGAGATGTTTGCTTTTGTTGTTTTCTCGTGTTTGCTTCAAATTCTGGGGTGATTGGGTTCAACTTAATTCTTGGGTGGCCCTTTCTTGGGTGGGCCCCCTTGGTCAGTCCCTCAGTTGCGTGCAAACATCGTCTTTTAGCGCCAGCTTCGGTTGAGATTGTTCTTGGGTGAGGTGTTTTTGAAGGGGACCATCCCCCTTGTTGGAGGGTACAAGGAAACCAGGGCCGCAGAAAGAATGTTGACCATGGCTCAAACTTTCCGAATGGATGTTTGGCCAGCAAAATCAAAAGTTGCTTACACTTACAATGAATAGGTGTACTGCTCAAAAACTTGAGTGATGCTAGGCTGCGGGGCTGAACATTTGAGTTGAGGGATCAGGAAAGTGGGGGCTGATGCAAAAGTGCTGGTTCTGGATGGTTCCGGTGCGTGCCCTTTCAAACGCCACGCTTCAGGAGTCCCCCAACTCGCAACCTGCCATGCTTGCTTTCCTGGCGAAACAACCACCTTGTCGAGTGGGGGAACCCGGCCCGAGGAAGGACGAAGGGGAGGGGGACCCCTTCGAAAACCTGGAGCGGCAGATTCTGCAAGCGGTCAAGGAGACGAGTCGGGTGACCCGCAAGGCCCAGCTGAACCGGTCCAAATCCGGAATTTCCGGCGCCGGGTCGTCCATCCCATCCTCCATCCCAACAAGCACGACGCAGTCCTCCAAGGTGAGTACTGGAGGCTCTGTGAGCATTAGCCTGGATGATTGACGCAAAGGCCGGGACTAAAGCATCTTGATGCTTTCTGGCCCCAGCTCTTTGGTGGCAACGATAGGGGCATCGAAGTTGTGAGGTTTACCCTGACGCCACCAATGCCATTGTCGATTTCGCGGGTCACTAACCGCTTGCTGGAAGAATTGAATTCGCACATGTAGGCGTGTCTTTTCGCAGTATGGCAAGTGCAACATAGTGCAACCTTTCCTCTTTTTGCTCAAGGTACCCCATTTGGGTTCGTTTTTAAGGGCAACAGGGAACACCACCATTTTTTGTGGTTCCACCTCGGAGAGAGACCCATGCCGGTGCAAGTAAATGTCGTGCGCATCATTTCCCAAAGTAAGCTGCCACGTCAGCTGAATTCGCCAACTGGTTGTGGTGATTTCGGTATTCTTCGATGCCCCTTCTCTGCACAGGGACTTAGGTCCTTTCCGCAGATGTCCAAGACACTGTGGGCTGAAAGACCTCGGCATGTCGCTTTGCGAGCGAACCGGGACAGCCACGGAAAAAAGGAAGAACAAGAACTCAACGGGGGAGAGGGCGCGGGCCAGAATGGAATAAGGACAGAGCATGGGGAAAGTATGGATACGGGATACGGTTGCTTCTTGCGCAGTAACTTTCCCCTTCCCTTGCAGGATGGGAGCTAGCCTAACAACCAATTAGCTGCATACATGAGTTGCTTTGAGGGACTTGATCTTTCACAAAAGCCCAATTGTGCTAGAAGCAATTCCGGTTGGATCATGTTATATCTTCGGACCTTTGTTGGTTGACGGACTTTCAGTTGCGCAAACTGTTGTCCATAGAGACAAATATTGGAGGTCCATTGTATGGTTTGGTTGCAGGTGTCGTGAGTTTTGTTCGGATTGGCTTGGTTTGGTTTTCTTGCATGTGTGCGTGCGAGCTCGGCTTGCTTGCTTGCTTTGCTTGCTTGCTCAGCTTGCTTGCGTGCTTGATTGATTGCTTGCTTGCCTGCTCGTTTGTTTGTTTTGCTTGCTTGTGTATGCGGGGTTGCTTGTGTTTCATTTGCAGTATTGTTTGTTTGTGTGTTCGTTTGTTTGCGGTCAAGGCAAGTTCCGCGATACTAGTGAGGGGGGGGGTTCTGTCAATTTATGTTGAGTTTTATCCTTGGGCCCCGGAGAAGGCAGTCGCCCTGCTCCCCAGCCCCATACCAGAAAGATCCAGAAAGGAAATCCAGGATGCATTGGCAGGGCCCTGGGACCTGGAAGGGGGGCGGGGGGTTGGGGGAAGCAAATGGCGCATCATAGAAAGGGGCGCGGAAAAAAAACACGCGAGGTTATCACCGGGATGGTTTCCCATCTGGACTGTGATGAACTTGGGCACGAATCCCGTCCTATGCATCCTGCTCTTCGGGGTTCACTTAGTGGAGATTCGTTTCTTCCAGGGGCACCGTTTGATTACGACTTGAGGGGGTTCTAAATCAGGGGCCCGCCAAATATGAGATTCAGGACGTCCTAGCCCCTTTGACATCTACAGGAGAGCCCGAGCCCTTGGCTTGCATTGGGCAACTTTGATTCTTCTTGGTTTTGAGTGGATGTTTTGCTAATTTCTGATGTGCCTGCGCGTTTCTTTCTTTGAGTTGGCATCTGGCTTGTTTAATACAGACGGTACACCTTCCGGATTTGGCCAATATCCAGGCATTTGGCTTTTTGTGCTCAGTTTTCCTGTAGCAGGGTTGCATGCAAACTCCAGGGAAGGCAAAAAAGCAAGCAGTGGTCTTTGGCTTTCCTTTACCACCGTTTGTTTGCCCTTGCGCGAGGATCTTGGTTAAACTTTGCTGCAGAGAACGCAACATACTTGCACATACTTATACATGCATACATGCATGCATGTATACATGTATGATGATGTATACACACACCACAGAAACATATACACATATTTAACAGATATATGTATATATATGACCATGCATTCATATCTACATATACAAGGCCTAGTGTAGGTACATCCGGCGCAGGTACATCCGCCGCCTGGCGCGGGCGGTGGGCGAGCTGACCGAGGGTCCCGAGGGATCGCCGCGCTTTGCGTGGCTCGACGGCGATCGGAGCCGTCGGGAACACCGGGTTTGTGACTGGGCCCGCCTCCTTCTGCAAATTTATTGACGTGGGTAGAAGGAGCATCGGGTATCGCCGGGGGGCTGCAAAGGATATTCTTCAGGGAAACCAACTAGCAGGGATACAGGGGGAACCAGGGATACGGGAGGATTCTTCCGCACCTTGACTAAGTTTAATATGGGAAATGGCGCCAAGGGAATCCCCCCATATCCCCGCTCCCTCCGTATCCCCGCTTTTTCGTTTGTCCAACTTCTTCAAACGTCAAGGCTCTGCGCGAGTCCGCTTGGTTTGTTTAAAGCGGCAATGTTGCAAACAAAGCCAAGTGGAAGCCTCTTGACTCGTACCCCCCCACCGGCAAGAGTCATGACGCGTACCTGCTGCTTGCTTTGCAAGGTTTCCACTTGACCGGTCGCTTTGCACAGTCCCACTGTTTACACTACACGTTGATTTCTGTTTTTCTTTCTAGAGTTCAAAGGGTTTCAAAGGGACGCATCGCTACTGGTGGTACTTTGGGTGGGACGGAACACCTGAGGCAAATGCAAGTCCAGAACATCATGTTGAGATGGGTTTCAATGCTCGACGGGCCTAACTTACTAACATGTAGTTTGATGGTTCCGATTGTTTGCTCCCTCCTGAAGGGGGCTGCAGATAAGCAGCACACGTGCCGAGGTCAGCTTTGGCGAAGGACGTGCGTGAGACTGTGCCGCCTGATGCAAACCTGGATGGAGAGACAGCTGTCATAGCTGTGGGTGGCAGATGTGCCGTATGTTGTGCCTGTTTGCACCTTGAGTGATCCGAGCAACGGCTGCACATGATGTTTTGCCAGGGTGTGGCCCAGCAGTTGTGGGACCTTTTGCGGTTGTACGGCTGTCACATGGCAGAGTAGCCAAGAAAATATGGCAAATCCGCTTGCCCTTTGGGTTGCGTATTTGTTTGTTGGGGGAAGGTGAAATTAGCTAGGTAAAGGGAGTCCTCTTTTGCCCATCGCCATCTGGATCTGTGCCAAGTTGCCAGCTGCCAGTCTCTTGAGCTTTGTGGCGACAGTGCATTCCGGAGTTCTCAGGTAGGCCAGCCAGGATCCTTCAAAATGATGGACCATTTGGCACCCTCTAAATCCCTTTTGTTTTGGTGAGTTCGTGGGAAACGGGTCCTGGCCTCAACACAAGGTCTCTTTTTCTGGGCTCAGCGAAGAACTTGGGCCGGTTGTTTCTTCCCATAGACTTGAGGTCTCGAGGCCCCTGCTCAGGCAGGGCATCGACCTGAACGTGGGCACGCCCGGCAAGCGGGCGGGTCACAGGAAGCAGACGACGCGCAGCCTGCAACGAGACAGCCGTTGTGTCGAAATGCTTGGTGAGGAAATGTAAGGCACGCTGGCTTTGTGTTGGCAGGCTTTTCCCTCTTTGCGCATTGTCACCTTCGGGTGGTTTCATCCATTACCTGTTGGTTGCCAATTTCAGGACGGGTGATGTTTACCGGTGAGACATGGGGAACTCTGGCCAGGGCCGGGCCCTTCTATACCTGCCCAGGGAAGCTTGACAAGTTGCATCTTAGTTGGCGTCAGACATCGCCTTGATTGGCTGATTTCGATGGGCCCCTTTGGTTCGAAGGCTCTGGTTGAGAACCAGTGCTCCCTAACCCAAGTGGGGGGATGGCTTCATGCTCCGGGGCACTACAAAGGAGCGTTTGAAGAGCAGAAGTAGGGGGATGTGCCTCGTTTTTGGATGCGCGGCTCACCGTCCACTGCTCCGCTGCCTGTAGTAATGTTGTAAGGGAAGCGCCGGTTTTGTGCATATCATATACAGGGAGACTCAGGGAGAGCTTGACTCAAACGTGATTCAATGCACCTGAGGACCTCCTATTTCGATCGGCTTTGGGCACACGGCGACCACACAGAATCTTCCCAGCAACGTTGAGATTGATGCAGCTGAGGGCCCCAGGTATGTCAGCCCATGCCAAAGCAAGCCCCTTGGTGGATTTGTTCAATGCAGGAGGCCCCTAAAAGGGTTTAGACCTTGTTGAGAAAGTGTGCGAAGGTTTTGCTTTTTGTTTCTGTTGGCTCATCCATGGGTGTCAGTCTTGCAACTTGCTCAGTGACAGAGTGCAGCAAAGGAACACTCTACAGGATTTCGATTCATTAAACAGAAGGGAACTGTCAGCCCTGCAACGGGCCTCGCGAAAGGGTGTCCATATTCCCTGCTGAGTACTGCCGCGCAGGCCTTGAGTTTGTTGTTCCCCCACAAAAGCCAACCGAATCAAGGAAAACCACTAGCAACTGGTTTAGGTCGCATGAGGCAAGGAACCCGCCTGAGGTTTTCTGGAGGTCGGTTCGCTTGCAATCCCAGTTGCCCAGTGGCACACATGTTTCCCTTTTTCCTGGGATGGCTGTGACTTACCTGTTGAAATCTACGGGTGCCATTCCTAAGGTAATTGAAGTGCTGCTGAGCAGTTCGTGCCAAGGACAGGTACTATTTCATGGTGCAGCGGCAGTGACGCCGTGCTTGGCAGCTGACGGTGCCAGTTGGTTTACGTTTACGCTTCAAGTGGCAACCTGCTTCTCTGAGCGGCGGAAAAGCGCCAGTTAGGATGGATCCGGAGCAGCCTAGCCAGAGAGTGGTTTCCAGAGGGAGTATGCATTTCAGGAGGGTTCCCTGGGTTCCTCCGGAATCCGAAGGTTGCATTGGGCGGCAAGTGACAAGTGGTTCTTTGCAGCGGCTTACGAAAAAAGCAACAATTTAGAACCCGTTTTCCCCTCTACTAGCTATGTGCCACCCAGTTTGGCCGGCAGGCAGCGCTATGTCAGGGACCGCTTTCAAAGAAGAAAACTCCCCACTAGCCCAACAAGGCATGTCACAGCCTCAAAGTCAATTGTCATCCCCATGTCGTTCCTAAACAACTGCCCAGAAAAGCAAACACTGCAATCCAGTTCTACCTGGTCTCAGTATCTGCTCCCTTCTCCCAACCCCAAGGCCACCGGGAGGAGCTGGCGCAGTCCGAGCAGCAGCTGAAGGACAGTTTTTTGTCGTGGCGCAGTCGCTCGGTATGGAGCGGTGTTATGGTGGACACGCAAAGTTTTTTTTCTGCAAGCACGGTTTTTGTATGTTTTTCGTTTTGCTTTTGTATTTGGTTATTACGATTCTGGTATTTGGTCCGCAGAATCGCACCTAAGTGTCAATGGCCCGCGGGGTTCGCCTGCAGCGACTGGCCCTTTTCCTGCACAACTATAGACTATAGGTGTCTTTTGGGCTTCAACTTTCGGTCGAAAAATGATGGATTCTGCTTCCACCAGTTTCAGTTTGGCTATCTGGCTCAAAAACCAGTCAAGCACATTTTGCACAGTGCCGTCCATTTTGTTTTTTAGGCTGAAGGCCTTGAGAGGGATCGCGTTTAAGATCCGCCTGGACTCCCCCAAAACAAGGCGATGCTGTGCCAAATGGATCAACATGGAGGGTTGACCTATCCGTTTTTTCATCATGCATGGGAAGCCATGATGAAGGGAACCCAAGTTGTCTTGTCTCCCACGGCAACTGGGCAAGTATGGCAAGCCTGGCTGTTGAGTTGAAGCACGGTTTTAGCCTTTTGGACTGGGTTTCTCCATGGTTGCAAGCCTTCACTAGTGACTTAGTGGGGTCCAGACGGGTTCTCCTTCCAGAGACCATTGCTGGCTCGCCTTGGCCAAAGCCGTATTTTTGGGTCAGGCGGGATGGGAACGGCGGCTGTGCCAGGACTTGCGGAAGGCGCTCCCGACGGGGAGGGGACCTGGCTCGGGCCAAGTGGTTTGGGAGGTCCTGTTTGGCCGGTTTCTGAGTGAGGCTTACGAAGCCAACCATTCTGGGCAGCCCGAATCTTGACAAATTCCAGGGAAACTTGCCCGGTTTTCACACATCAAAAAAGCCCAGCGAATGAAATGTCCAGCAAGGTGACTAGTCCAATGGTTGAGCTTGCAACCATTAAACTGGTTGGGAGGCCTTTCCTGGCCATTGGTTTTGTGACTGTTGCTTCGGGAGCACGGACCAAATGTCAGTACCTGGCTGAATGAGCTGTTTTCTTCCTGGCTCCCCAGTGCAAGCTCAAGCTGGGTGATTCACTGGCGGCAGAGGCGCAATCAGAGGTCCAGACGGGACGCCGGGGCACCCGGAGACGTAACGTGTTGGCTTAATACTTCGCTTGCGTGCCTGTGGTGGAGGAGGGTTGGTGTTGCAGCTCAATTGCGTGCAGCTGGGTGTACGTAGCACAAAAACTCAACTGACATATGTCCGTCGTGCACTTCCTCAAGTTATTGCTGGGGAGAAGTTAAATGGGTTGCATAGTCACCCTGTAACAATTGTATTCTCGGAGCCGTGAGAGAGTGGCGGTGAACCACATTAGAGATGCAGCGCATCATGGCATTTGGGCAAAGCGCTGACATGGATCTTGGCACTTGTAGGCTGCTGCACTGCTCGATCGAAGCTCGTAGATGTTTGCCTTTGGAGGGTAGGCAAGCGTTCTTTGCTATTCACGAAGTGGCTGTTGATGCCTATCCGTTGTTCTGCCAACATGTGCTTTTCCATGTCTTTCCTCTTGGCCACATTTCAAAAGCCTGGTTTGCCTGGGGTTAGTAGTTGCATGGCAAGCTGTTTGCCCGGAACCCTGATCGGTCCAAAGAGACTTTATGGGAGAAGAGCAGGTTAGCCCGGGCTTTGGAAACTTCCCAGTGGTTCCCATCCGCAGATAGATAGCAAGCAAAACGGGATTTTGATCCAATGAAGTTTTGTTTGCTGGTATCATGAAGTCCCATGTCCCCCTCTTTTTGGCCTTTCGCCTTGGCTTCCCATTAGCTACCTTCAGAGGGAAGGGCACGGCCCCCGGGAAAGGAGGCAGGCATAAGATCCCAAACTGGTTGCCAAAGTAATAAGAACTGGGGGAGGGTCCGAGGCGGGCTTTGTCTTGGCAGATACGTGGAGAGACACAGTTCATACAACTGTCCCCAAAGCTTCCAACATACAACTCGGGCCTTTGTGGTGATAGGTCTTCCCAACTGGGCCCAGGCCAGCGCGAGTTGCAAGCGGAGAGCCAGCGGCTACGCGCGGAGGGTGAGGTGGGGTGACTCAGGTCACACTGCGGACAGATGACGCGCTATTTCAGGTGCTCAGGGCATTCAAGTTTCCTGGAACGGGGACAACCATGAAACCGCCGCAAGGAATTGACACTTGTAGACGTTGGGTGGTGCAACCCAAAGTTCTGGCCTCAGAGGAACGTGGCCTTCTTGTGGTTGCTCATTCATTGTTCCTGGGCATGCGCATGGCCGCTGGAATGTCGGCTTAGGATTTTGTTGGTTGTTTCTGTTCCTTAGGCAGGCGAAGCAACTATAGATTCCAAGGCTGCCCAATCGCGAGCATCCCTTTGCGCAGCAGTGAGGCAGTGCTGCCAAAGTGTTTGGTTCCTTCTAGCGATTCAGCACAACGGGAGTTTGTTTTGTTTTCTCATATGTTACTTGCTTCACTTTGCTTCACCATCTACGTTCGCCAATGCTTTCACCATCTACGTTCGCCATGGTGACATGTCCAGAAACTGAGTGAGAATCCTGCCATGATGCCGATGGGAAAGTGCTGGGATTCAGAGGATACACCCCACAGCACGAGGCTGCGGGCCACACCTCCAATCACATTTTTCCGTCTCCTACCTGATGCTGCCTGTATGTTCGAAGGCATTTGCTGGGCTCCGGGGTGCTCCAAAGCGCTGACTGGTGTGGCCCACGTCCTGCAATTCGGCCCCATGCAAGACGCTTAAAGACTTAGAGCCAAGATGCCAAGTTTCGACCCCTGTGGCTTGTCCGCATAAAAGTTCCGGACTTTTTCGGGCCAATCCAAGTGAGGCTTTGAGATCAAAGGCCAAGGGTGCTTGCCTGCCATGGGCGCCATGGACGCCATGGGACGGCTCGAGGAAGACTCAGCAGGGCACTCGGGCATGCGCATGGTGCTTGGTGCATCCTTTGGACTGATCATTGCTAGGCGCCTCTTTAAAACAGAAATCACTGGGCGGAATTCAGCGGGCCGCCATCGTTTTTCAACTCAACCGACCCAAGAGGACACATGGATCGAGGTCAGCCATGGTGGCGCTGGCAGCGCAAGCCTTTTACGCAACTCGGCGCGCTTTTTTTTTTTTTTTTTTTTTTTTTTTTGGTGCTGGACACCCTATCAGAATTTGAGGTGCCTCCGGACAGGTGTCTCTCAAAGTAGGGGGCCCAAATGGGGAGTTGTTGTTTTGGCTTCCCTTGAACTAGCAACAATAATTAAACAGTCCATCATTAGAGCCTCAGATGTGGAATCCTCTCCCAAAACAAAGACGCCCAGTCCCAGCCCCTCGTACCAGCGCGAAAATTCCGTAAGTACTCCTCGCAGAGCTAACAGTCAACAGATGGGGCTTTGTTTGGCTTTGTGCCGCTGCATTTCTGGCGAAAAGGAGTCCCATTCGACTTCCCCTGGCGCGAAACCCTGACTCAGAAAGTTCCAATGATGCATGAAACCTTGCAGTTTCACGGCCAATCGAGTGGTTGCCCAACTTCATTGCTGCACCCCTGCTGTTTTTCAGGGTTTTTCGAATCAAGGGAAGCCCTAGGCCCTAGGCAACTGCGTTCCCTAAGGACTACCACCAGCCCCGCGTGCCCAGCAAACGCCGGCACTTGGAGCTGCGGAAGGACCTGGTGGGCCTCACCAAGGACGGGGCCACAAGCCGCAATGTCACGCAAAGGAATTGAGATTCCAATCAGGGCCAAAACATGTTGGTGTTAATCAGGGCTTGAATCCTAGGTTCAGGTTTGAACCGCAAAGAAATGCTTAAACAAAGAGAGAAAACACATGTCTATGCTGAACGATGCTCGGGCTTGGACAAGGATGAGTTTTAGCTGGGACTCAAAACATCCCAAAACTATGTGCTTTGGTTTTCTTTGTCAACCCTCCTTTGTTTTTAGTGAGGCCATTTAAATAAAGGATCGGTGATCAATGTGTTGCGCCGAGTGCTGTTTACACTTTCGTTCACTATTGGTTGAGGCTTCAAAGTTTGCCACCAAGAGTTGTTCTGTATTTCCCATCTATTATTTTCCCAGTAATACTTCGCAATGCACCAGTTGCTGCACCATGACCATGCCTTCTAGGTTTACTGCGGGAAACAGGGCCAGCCATGGATTCTTGACTAGGATTCCTGACGAAACCATGGCTCAAGCCAAATTTGTTCGCGTGCAGCGGTTTCTCGTGATGTTGCTCCGTGTGTGCGTGTAGTCGCAAGTTCTGGACAACCACGTTCTACATGTTAGTGATGTCGGAGGCGGGCAAACGATGCCCTTGCCCAGAGCGAGCAACCGACCTGAGGATATCTCGGTTGACGGCAAGGTGCGGAATTGGCAGGACGCGATCGGCAGATCACATTGTGCCCAGCGATGGCAGCATGTGATGTGTTCCTTGCCGTGGGTTTCCTTGAAAGTGCCCTAGCAAGAAACGGTTGTTACGCCACTGAAAGAATCTGAGCTTCTGTCAGATTCCGGGTTGTTGAGTGGGGCCCTCATTCTTTTGGAGCACGCAGGTCCCCAACTGTCATTGAAAAGCTGCCGATCTTGCTGGTCTTAGCGACAAATGGTCATGACTTGTAGGTATGCCGGCGTCAGCCCAAGCTAGGAAGGAGCAAAGGTCTAGCTTGAGTCTCCAAAGGTTCCTGCCGATGCCGATCGCAGTTACATCTCGCTTCCCAGTTTGGGACGTTAGGCGGTTCAAGGGGTAGGTCAATCTGGTACTCACACGGTGGTTGCGCGTTTCGGGAAAATCACGTTGACTGGGAAATTGATGGAGGCATTCGCATTGCCGTGTTCAAATCGCACAAGCAATGTCATGTTTTCTTTTGGTTTTGACGGCACATTTGTGGGCCACCAGGACGTACTGGTTATTCTGTCAGCGCTCCCTTCCCTGCAGCTGCAGGCTGACGAGGCCTTTGCATGGGACAAGTTCGGTTGCATGACATGAGACCTGCTGAGTTGGTTGGACATCCAAGTAGTTCACACGTGCATGTTAGAACCAAGACAGTGTCGTGCCCGATTGCTCGTTTGTGGAAGGAAGACAAGAGTCTGGCCACTCAACGGGGTCCTTCATTGATGCTTGCTGGCTGTCGTTCGCACTACGTTTCCTTTGCTGAAGTCCCATGGTTGAGCGTCGATGAACGTCGATGGTTTCTAAGCTCACGAGCAGTGCATCAGAAACATCTCATTTCATTCGAGGATCTTGCTCTGTTGAAATTCCGGGTTTCTTTTCTGGAAGGCACGCTCAAACACCTCAAGCCACCTCTTTGGGGGTCCAAAGCTCTTTGGGTGCTTGGGCTGCAGCTGAGGTCATTTTCGGTGCTGCCTTGGGACGGCCACCTGGCCATGCGGAACCCGCCAGAAGGCCCTTTGAGCACCTCCCCAGGTTCCGTGGTTATGGGGAATTCCCTTTTGCTCGAGGTGTCAACTCGGGTAGCTCTCATCCCGCGCACGAAAGCCTGGACCGTACCTTGCCCTCTTTTTTTTCACTTGTGTCAGCCATGAGCTCGTCAGTTGGGTATGCGAGTCGTTCGAATGGCCATTCGTTGGCCAGCGGCATGGCCACATGAGGGCGATAGACAACGGCAGTTGCCTTCGGGGCCTTGGGGCGTCAGAAAGCTCATGGGTCAAGGCCTTTCAGACAAGCCTCACCACCTACCCGGACATTGGGCAGAGCTAAATTTAAGAGGCTTGCAAAATCTCACGACTGGTCCTGGTTTCTGGAATGACTTGCGACTTCATGTGATGAAAGCCCTGTTTTTGCAAGACACCTGTTTTTTGTCCTCCAGTTTGCCTTTTGATTGCCCCGCACCCCTTGCCCATCCCTCTCTTGGATGCTTGCCTCGCCGAGGCTTGCGAAGGACTGCCACCTTAGATCAGGTGTTGAGTGCCGCGTGTCTTCTGGGGTAACATCAAGACACATTCCAACCAAACAACGGGAAGTTGTTTAAAGGTTGACGAAACAGGAAAGCCAGTGATCAGAAAGTCGTGGAAAGTGGAAACTCAGGCTTAATAGACATCCCCGTTAGAAGTAAACGTAATTAAGTGGGAAGCCAGAATCAATCAAGCCGTAGCTGATTTAACAGTTATTGTTTCCAGTTGTGTTGCTTTATATGGTGTGTGGACTTTCGTGCGACCAGCCGCCTTTGAGCCAGCAGGTGCATGGTGCTGAGCACGGCAAGGGTCATGGACAGTTTCCGCTTGGGGGAAATTGGGTCATGGGAGCTTTTGGGATCCTCAATTCTTGGCATGCCAGCATGTGCATAGGCCAACTGAGCCGGGCACTGCCAAAGGTCGGCTGCTGTTTGTCTCAAACGGCGCGCTTTTGTTTTTTTTCCTTCTGAGGGTCTAGTAGGCCGTCAAATGGTGCCTACTCACCTGGAGTCAAAAGGGGAGACACGGACAGTTTGCTGCAGGAGAGGCAGTGGCAGTACGCTTTGTCCACCCTGGACTTCATGATCACTGGAGGTTTGCAGGCCAATCTGATCACCTGCAGCGCCACCGCCGGAGCCTCAGTGATTTCGCTGCCCGAAGTTGACAGAATCCCTACCTTCTCAGTTTTGGTGCAATCAAGCGTTGCCTTGTAAAGGCCATGTTTATTTGCCAGTTTTCCACGAAGCGGGTGATGTCACAGGCTGTGATGGGGAGGTGTTTTGCACTCCTCGGGCATGACTCACCATGCTGACGTCGTGACCTTCAAGGTCCCATGAGGGGATTCCCAATGTCAAGGACTTGCTGAGACTTCTGGCTGGATGCAGGGGGAACAGGCACATCCAAAACATAGATGCCATATTGGTGCGGCATAGGATGAGGGTCCCTCAAAAAGGACTTCGATTTTCGGTCCGCCATGCTCCCAGTTGCACATGAGGTGGGTGCCTGCGCCAAAGGCCTCAAGTGGTTCCGCTCCTCAGCTGGACAGAAGGAACATTTGTGGACGGGTTTCTGCTTCAACCCGGAAAACAGAGTAGAACGTTTGCATAAGGGTTGGCCACATTCCCCCACTACGGTCAGCGCCAAGAAGGGTGAACGAAGAAAAGCTGAGTGTACAGGAGCACTGATTAAGGTCCTCAATGTGGGTGACCTGGCATGTGTGTTTGATCCTGCTCTTGTTTTGCGTTTTCCCTGTCGCTATTCTACTCTACATTGCATATAAGAGAGCCGCTTGCTTTGGCTACACTTGTATTTTGTTTGAAGCTGCTTTCCTTCTTGTTTTGGAAACGATCAGGTGCAGTGACATATCATTTGACTTGTTGCATGGCGCCACACATACAAGTCATGGGGAGGGTAAGTCACCAGGCTTAAAGTTGGTAAAGGGAACCCTTGACACCTATGATAAATGGTGGATCAAAATCTTAGTCTGGGCCCGTTTTGGTGGGAGGGTGCTTACGGCCTACCTGGATGTTCAACCCACTTAGCAGGTTATAACTCATAAGCATGGTCATCCACGAACCTCTTTATTCCAATTTTATGCCCTATACTCACTTTGTGGCAATAACCATATTTAATTGTCCAGAAAAGGACGTCGCAACAGGGTGCATTTCTTTTAATGCGAGCCCTCAACACATTGCCCACTGCGGGCATAGGCGCCTGCGGCCTGCTGTCGCAGATGCGGCGACTTCGGATCCAGCCCAACACCGTGGCCTTCGACACGGCGCGGCATCGCCGATTCCCCAACCGGGCTGCAGACAGAGGGGTCGATCATCGGGGGTCGCTCTTAAGGGTGCCCGTTCATTTCTGGGACTCACCGGATAAAAACAGCCAAAATGAATCTGTATCTTCTGGCCAACGCACTTTCAGGAGTGAGTTGGAGCACAAATGCGACCGACCCTCATTGGCTTCTCGTGACTTCCGGGCAGGCCATCACCGCGTGCGGGGGCCGCAGTGGCAGCTGGGAGAATGCGGCCGCGGTCTTTGGTGAGCTTCGGGTGCCGAGTCCGAGTTCCCCCGCGGGGCTCAAGGAAATCAAGGGAAAGTAGCGCCAGCCACCACAGGAGTCCTCATTCGTCCTTTCTTGTTGCATTTGTTTTTGTATGATATTTGATATGTTGTTTTTGAGGGTAGCTCAAGCAGCAGCACCGCAATTTCGCCGGGAGCCCATGCCTCACGCCTGCCGCACGGAAGCATCGAAACACCAGAATGGTCTCTCCCAGTGTTGGGGGGGTAGTAGCTTAGTAGCGTGCCCCTTTTGGCAGCTGTCGTTGTCATGGGGATGGCCCACTGTTGCAGTGGAGAAAGTGGATTTTCGGTGGTTTCTAGTACCAGGATCAGGGTTGGTTTAGGAACTTGGGTTGATCCAGCATCAATCCTGATTCTTCCAGCCATATGGTGATCATATATGCCATAATGGTTCTGGTGGTGCCCCACGGATTGCGGCAACCCATCCATTTTTGATCGAGGTGCTGGGGCTGCCGCCTTTCAGCATGTCCTACAACTCAGCCATCAGCTCCTTCGAGTGACGCAAGACCGGCTCGTCTCGGCCGCCTCACAGTCGCTTTTTTTGGTTGCTGGTTGGTTGGACCTTTAACTTTAGCTTCCTTGGACATGCTTTCGGCTGCCTTTCTAGCCGCTCATGTCAGGGCTCCGGCGGAAGAGAACAAATATAGGTCCAAGGTTTTGGGTCGGCAGGGGACCCCAGCAATTCCATGTTGATTGCTTAATTTCCCTTTTGTTGGGAAGGCCGAAGGCTAGACAGATTCTGTTCAGTAACCCCCCACTAATTGCCCTGAAGGTAAGGGGGATGTTCAGCCAAGTCTTGGAATGGCATGTGCCCCAGGTACCGCCAGAAGTGGCAAAGAGGTTTGGACTTCCTGCAGGACCCTTGGGCACACGCCATTTGTTCATGTCCACCTCAGTGAAGCGGCCCCAATGGCCCCCAAGGAATGCACTTGAACCTAGCACGATTTCAGGAAGTGTGGGATCAGCTTCCGGCAATGCGACTGTTGTTTTGGCATCAATTTCCGGCCCGGACCTTATTAGCTGTCAAGGGGAGTCTTCATTCAGTGCAAGTGCCCGTGGCTGACAAGTTTTGTATGTTTTGTTGAACAGGTTGCCAGACTCACATCAAACTCAGAAGTAACTTGTGGTTTCGTTCGATTTTCGCAGGGAATCCCTGCGAAGACAAAGAGCTAAAGCGGTCAGCTGCGCTATTCAGACCAGGTCTCATTACTTGCAAGGCATGAATTAAGAGCTTAGCTCGTACCGCATGCAAACCAATTTTGGAACGTTTTGAACGGCTTGAAGAAGTGTCAGCATGAAACCAAGCGGGTCAACTGGTGTCATTTTCCCCGAACGGATCACTTGAGCAGCGGGTTTTAATCAAATGAAAGGGTTTATACAAAAGGGATCTGCATGTACTGTGCGGAGGCAATCCTGGTCAGGGGCGTAGGCTCGCGTAGGCTTCTGCGCTTAGGAGTTTGAACAACTCATGGCTCAATGCTGTTTGCCAAGTATACAGGAGGTAGCTTCTTGTGCCTTCCTTCCGTTTGTTCTGCAGTTTTCGCATAGGTCCGCGTAGGACCCGCGTAGGCATTCGCTTGTCTCTGAAAGCATTTCGAGTACGTAGACTTTTTCTAGCAGCCAGATCCTTGGACAGATGCGGGTCTCCATTGAACTGCAAAAGTCTTCTTAGATCTGGAGCTGCCAAAACTGCTCTTGTGCTAAAAAGTTGCGATTTTCCAGCTGGAGCTGCCAAACTGCACTTCAACACTTGAACCGAACATTTGCCGGCGTCCGCGTAGGCACCTGGAAGCTGACTTGTGCTCGCGCAGGCGCCCTTTGCATCGGCGTAGGCTTGCGGAGGCTTCCGCGTAAGCATGCAAGCAGTATGTAGGCCCCGAACAACCCAAAAACCACTGCTCACTTGCAAAGGCTTCGTAACATCTCGCGGCTTTGAGGACCTCGTTGGCCAGCGAGGCCCTCGCCAGCGCAAGGCAGGCCCAAACCAACTCTCTCTCCCCCTCTGTTTTTTTGGTGTGTGTTTGCTTGTGTCTGTGTGTGTGCGCGTGTTTGTGTTTGCGGCTGTGTCTGTTTGAGGGTGCCCCAACAAGATCATCTTCAAGCCAAAAGGATTCAACAGGAAACCGCTGGTTTTCAGAGCCTTGCATTTGCCCTTTCAAGCGGTCCACAGTCTGGCCTTTTCTGTCCTTCGGGGTGGAAGGCGAACGTGGTGTCCTTCAACGCGGCGCTGAGCTGCTGCCGCCGGGCCGGGGACCTGAGCGACGGAACAGGAAACCCTATTGCCGAAGGAATGCATCCGAAAGGAACCGATTTACGCTTATGTAGTCTGAAAAGAAACAAGAAAACTTGTTAACACCCATTTAAATTTGGGATTGTCCAACTGTTGACGCTCACCCTTCAAGGCCGGCTGTGACGGACGTGCTTCCAATGCGTGGTTCTTTTCCGGGAGCCCTGGGTTCCGCCCAAAACCCCTTCTAGGCCCCCCTTCTAGGCCGCTTTTTCCCTAAGTCAGGGCAAAACGGATGTGGTCACCACTGAGGGGGGGGCAGGCCATGACCATTCGCACAGGTTCGCAAATCTGTTGGGGGTTCGACTCAAAGTTCGCAATGCCTGGCCGGGTTCGCAAACCCGAAATGGAATTCGCAAACCTTCGCAAACTGAATTGGGCAATCCAAAGGTTCGCAAACCCAGTCCAGGGTTCGTGCGAGGGCGGCGCCGGCCCGGCGCAGCCCTGGCCAGGTCCTGCCAGAGGCGGCGCCGGCCCGGCGCAGCCCTGGCCAGGTCCTGCCAGAGGCGGCGCCGGCTCGGCGCAGCCCTGGCAGCCTAGCTAAGCCCCCCTGCGTTCGCGCGTGACTTTGACAGTTCGCAATCCCCGCCATGTTCGCAGATGAGAAGCGGGTTCGCAAACGTTCGCTTAGGTACTTTGGGTTAGCGTAGGTTCGCTAAGATTTTTGCCTGCCCCCCCCAACTGGTGACCACATCTGTTTTGCCCTTACTAAGGGCTTCATGACGAAAGGATCAACAAACCTTTGTCAGATTTCGGTTTAGGAGTGGCTCATTTCAGAGGCACTTTTGTGCAGAGACCCCCCCGATTCAACTACAAGTTGATGAGCCCGTGGTTTACATGTCCATTGTTGTTCTAAGAAATGGATACTGTATGTGTATATTTCAAGGCCCCCTTTCAGCGCCCCGTAGGTTACACTTTGTACGGTATTGCAAAATGTTTGGGACCCTGGAGGTTGTCCAGCCCTTGGTCTTCAAGGACTCTGAAAAACAGGTTTGCCAAAGGCCTGCTTTTTCAATGGAAGGTCAAGGTCTTGATTTCCTTCCAAAAAGTGTCGAAGTCTTTTTGGGGGATGGCAAGCTGTCCCGAAAAAGGTTGCAAAGAAATGCGGCGCACCGGTTGCCCAACACGACCTCCTCCTTTCTGTTGTGGGAGGCCTGAATCATCAAACGAAGCAAGAAGCCAGCCCCCCCCCCCAACCCAAAGCTACCCGTCATTTGATGATGGGTTGCTTTGCGCGAACCCCCTTTGGGGGAGTATAGGTCCATGCGGGTGTGCATTTCACTTGCTGTCTCTTTGGTGTTAGCTTGACTTTCAATCTGTCTTCTTTTGGGAGGTGCAACCCACCGCCAGCTGACCCGCACGTTCTCTCCATTACGGGGAACACATACTTTGACCGTGGCTGTGGACTTTGACTTGCGTCGCAGGTGTCCCAGTGGCAGCAGGGCCTTTGCTTGCTGAAAGCCATTCCTCGAGAGGCCGCACAGCAGCGTGACGAGGCCGATAACATGGGCCATATGGGCCCACTTTCCGTTTCCTTTATATTTGGGGAGAGCGCTTTGAATATTTGCCCGTCAAAGGGAAGTGGAAGGGAGGGGCCACTACCTGTTTGAGTCGAAGCTGGCGCTTGTCACTTGTCAGGCCTTCCCAAAAGGAGTTGAGCAATGGGTTTAGCCGCTATATCACGAAGTAGATTATAACCGGGGTTGTTGGCGGGGGTTGGTTGGCCAATACTATAGCGTGCAAAACCTTAGTCAAGTTGAACATCCAAGTAACCGGCATCAACCAACCTGATCCTTTGAGGAGCTGTCGCCAACTGCTGAGCCCGCCCTTCTTGGCACGTGTGACTGCGCATTCCCTTGCCCACTGTGGCTGCCCCAAGAATGGCTGTGGCTCAGACGCCGTTTGGCCCCATTTTAATCATGTGGGCTGTTGCATAGCCATAGCCGTTGCACGGCTCTTGGGCCATAGTGGGGCGCAGTGGCCTTCAAACGTGGTGAGCTCAGTAGACATGAGGTTCGGTCAGCTGAGCACTGAGATTCCCAAGCCAAGAAACTCTCAGATTTGTTCGTGCCTTTGGGTATGTCTCATAGGGGATCCCCTTCTCGGGTGATAGATGGCTTTGCAGGAGCTGGCGCCGGATGAAGTGCCGGGGGGCTCAGAATCAAAGCATGCGCTTGGTGACTGGCACATAGCTGATTGGTTACTGCGGGCTGCAAGCCTTTTAGTGGGTATCCTCCACATTTTGATCTGGGGTCAAACATTTCAGCTGTCCGCTCTTGGATGATTAGTTGTGTGAGCCGCCGTTCGTCAGATTGGTGGATCGACTGGGCGCTTGCTCCGAGGACCTACGGCACGGCTGTCAGCGCCTGTGCCGCTTGGGTTAGTGGCATGCTTGCCTGCGGTGCTGCGTGTCCTGAGCCACGTGCATCATGTGTCAAAATTGGGGGGGGGGGGGGCAAAATTGTGGTTGGCTTTGGCTTTCCTTTGAAGCCAAGATTGACCGAGAGAGGGTGACCTCTTTTTTTGGTAGGCCCCCTGAATCGCCACAGCTTCCAAGGGCGCCCCGCAGTTTGCTCAAAGTTTGCTGAAGAGAGGCTTCCCCAAATAGAAGCCCGTGGGAGGGTTCTGTATATTGCTCGCATGGCAGTTTCATGGCTGGTGAAATTGAGAGGTTTTCTATCGGATGCAGGTCGTTTGTGGACGGTTTCCTGTTGGTTTCCTTGCAGTGTTTCTGTTTCAAAACCCAACACATATTTGGGGCAACTACCCTCAAAAGCGCCCAATTTGTCAAGGAAGGCATGCTGTAGGGCCAGGGAAGCCCGCTATCTGACTGCAAAAAGGGAAAACGAAAGCCCGCGTGAGCAGCGTCCAAAGCCCTTGTTGGCCATTTGAGTAGATGGTTCTACCACTGTGTTTCACAGGTTTATAGTCAGGCTTGACCTTGATCACCATGTTCGTAGAGCCAAAAGTCAACAGGTCTTGGGCACTCCCCCTTTTGGCAATTGAAGGGAAACAAAGAACAGATTCGCCAACTGGAGGGGTCCCATTCCGAGAGACGTCCCCCGGCCGGCCACGCGGACGTAAGGACCACGGCTGGGTGTGGCGCTGGGCGGTGCAGCTCCTGCAAGCGGCGGCCTGCCAGGGGCTGAAGCCCTCCCTGCAGACCAGCAACGCTGCCATCAGCGCCTGCGGGAGTGGGCAAAGTGCAGGGTCTGCCGGCGTTTTCATTTGTCCGAGCAATTCAGCCACGGGGGATAGAAAAAAAAAAAAAACAAGTCTAGTAGACCCTTGAACCACATATATGGATACACATGGTATGATTTGTTTGGGTCCCGGACCTTTTGGACATCAGGACGCTGCCAGGATGACTCTGCGGAAAACTCCAAAGTCGGCAAGTTAGTGACGTGAAAGGGTCTTTTCAGCCCGTGGCGATGGGTTGCTTCACACATGTGCCTGGCACTTGCCCGAAGAGGCATAGTTGCGGGACAGTGGGTTTGAAGGTAACCGTTTGGGATACCAGGGGAATCATCCCGTTACTGTAATTACACAGTCAGAGGGATGGCCCCCTTGGCATTTCCTCGGCCAGTCGAGCGCAGGAAGGGCCAAGAGTGGCAATTCTGCCTGGACGTGCTGCGCGACATGTCCGGCGCCTACGTTGCACACTTGTCTGCAATAGCCCAGCCGGGACAAGACATGGAGTCCTGTGACCCGGTTTCCTTTGAAGGGGTCTAAGGCCCTGTTGAATCTGACTCAGTTGTTCAGCGGCACCCGTTTTGCTCAAAACCTAAGAAGTAAGAACAATGGAGACGGACAGAGAGTCCAGAGAATCATCCCTAACGGAAAGTAACAGGGTATATAGTGTTTGAAGACTTGGGGGGCCTTTTCCGAGTTCTTTGTTCGAAACATGCACGGTGCCAGTTCATAAATCACAGAAAGCCTGATTTGAGGCGCCCTTGCTTCCCTTTGGACTGTTTTTGCACTGTTTCAAGTGCCAATGCCGTGTGCCTCTGAGGGTGTACCCTTGCAGTTGTACCTGGAGCCATGAGGGGTACGACCAACAAAGCGTGCTTCATTTTTTCAAATGCCAACTGCAGCCCCCCCTCCCCTGGTGAAGCCCTGCTGAGGCACCCAGCAAGTTGAGCTACACCAGCGCCCTGGGCGCCTGTGCTGGGACGGACACCTCAAGAGGTCGCGTGGTGCTTCAGGCGCTTCGTTGCTTCGTTGCTTCGGCTCCTTTGGGTCGGATGGGGCGCTCAGGGATATTCCCGGGCACGTGAGGGTTGGGGTCCCCAGCCTCAAACCTTCGGACCTGTTTTCCACCAGGTTTGACAAACAGCTCCAACGGTTGACCGTTCCCAAAGTGGAGCCACAGGGTTCCAGTTGTTTTCCCCGCACTGAACGCCATGGAGACTCCTTCCCCTCTCCCCCGATTTGCACAGCTGCTGCTGGAGATGGCCCAGCACGGTCTCCAGCCCAACGCCCTAGCCTTCGGCATCGCCGTGGACGCCTGCGAGGAACCCGTGCGACGCGCGTCGGGAGCTGGGAGTCGCGAGGGGTCATGAAAGAGTGCCGCTCCACCCGTGATGGCTGATCGCCAAAGTACGAATTAGGGGAGGAGGGTCTCAAAAGAAAGCAATGGGACATCTCGAATACACCTCAAACCGTGGGAGTTTTGTGCCATGCAGAAGAGGCTGGCAAAAGACGGGGAGCAACAGGGGAAAGCTTCGGATGGATTCGGAATCCGTAAAAGCATTTCTCATGGGGGCTGTTTGTTGGGTTGGGGCCAGCGGCTTGTAAGTATATATCCATCATGTTTAAGGGATTTGTTGCGCAGCTTGGTTCAACACCAGAAATATTGGATATATGCATGTCATATTCTCTCTCTCTCTCTCTCTCTATCTCTCGTTCTCCAGTGTTATTCTACGTTTGTGCTTGGCCCGATCTCACAAATCTCCACCTATACAAGTGCATAAACATTTGCATGGGAGAGTTTGGGACGAGGAAACAGCAAGCACGTGCAGCCAAGATGTATCTTAGTTATCTCCCGGCATGGCCTTCTGCTGCCTTTTGAGCAAGGCACCCTTGGCAGCAAGGCACAGGCCTGTGCGCAGTATTTGAAGTCACTTTTCCACCTCTCTCACATAGCTTGAGAAATGTGGAGGGTTGAGCCCTGAAACAAATCCAATCGATGTACTGGTCATGCAGGCGGCGGGCTTCAGCGGGTTGGCCCCCGCGCTGCTGCAGCGCGCCGCCTCGAGTGGCCAAAGATCTGCGCGCGCGGCCAAGGAGTCCTTCGAGGCGTAGAATTGGGAAACTCGGCCAACGCAGCAACTGTCCGCGAAAACATCGACATGCACCACAAAGTTTCAAAGCCGCGAGGAGTCACAAATACATTGGGCTGATGCCTTCGAGCTTCAAGATGTTTGCTGCCTCTGTTTTTGATTGCACTATAGGGTAAAAGTCAGAATAGGGGGGGGGACCTGCACCCAAATGAGCGAACTGTGCCATCTACTTTGATCCTGGTGCAATCGCTTCCCTCGCAGACTGAACCATTCCAGTGGTCAGCGTCGAAGCCCTCGATGGAAACATCATCACTTTAAATCTCGTGGCAGGTGGAAGACAAGCACGGCGACCACTCTGGTGTGGCCATCGCAGCTTGGACGTTGCCAAGTCTTCGTCATCCATTGGCCATGAGCCATGCAAGACTGGCTCGTGGCGTCCGAAACGATGGGGGGGGGGCAATTTTCGAAATTTTGACCCCCACCCCAAAAATGTACCAACATTTATATTTATAAGGGTGGGGGTTTATGGACCCGGCTGATCCAAACACGAGGCACTAGTCCCAAGCGGCCTGCACGCGCCGAGGTGGCGGCGGACGCCATCGCGTGGCACGGGGCCCTTGGGGAACCGCTGTGGCTCGAGCTGCACCGCAGGCTGTGCCTCCCTTCGCTGGCCAGGCGGGGGCTGAATCCAGCCGAGGGCGCGGCCGAGCGGGGTTCGGTCAAACCTACCAGCGCTTATGTTGTGAGCGGCATGGGGGGACGAGCTGCGAATTTCTTACAACAAGCAGGGCATGTCCTTGACAGCACGCAAGTAATGTTGACCATGGCTCGTCCGAGGCGAGCGGTCACTACCGCCATGCATGCCGACGTTATTCTTTGTTGGGCAAAAGCTGGGGTAGATGGATTGTTGGCTAGGGGTGGGGGCGGGGACGGGGAATCGGATTGATGAGAAAGCTGCAAGCAGGGCGTTCCGCAACTTGAACTGGCGAACAATCTGAATCATGGTTCCTTCCGCCCTCCAAACTGACAACTGAGGATGTCCTAGAACCGGGGAGGTCCTTTTGTTTGCATATGCTGTAAGGAAAGCAACCTACAAGAAGTTGCCATTACCTTTTGCCTGGGGTCGCGTTTCGACAGCGCACGTTTGGCCGGTTCAAAGCGGGTGGGACGCTTCTGTCCGCTCGAAGGAACGCACTCCCCGCGTATCGTGTCGCCATGGCGCCGAATGGCTGATGAGTGCCTCCGCCAGGAGACCGAACCGGTGAAACGGCGGAACAGTGCAACACACGAGCTTGGGCCACATCAGCAAGAAAGTGATGGCACAATCCCCCTTCATGTGGGTTTAGTCATTGGCACCCTTCATGCGGGAAAGAAGCTGATGGCCATTTTGCACAGACCAGTGAGAGTATGATCAAACGGAGGTTTCAACCCAGAACACTTTTCATTCTAAAAAGGAACTCAGGCATTGGGTACATTCCAAATTTCCAAAGGATTCATTCATTGGAGTGACTCCATTTGATGGTACAATGCTAGCGCATATTATTACGCATGCGAACATTGTGGCCGGCTTCGCGTTAATAACAGTTCCGACGCCCTTCTCAGGAGTCAAGCAATTGGGCAGTGCCATTCTTTTCAAAGCGAGGCTAATTGCAAGTGCTGGCACAGCAATTACTGAAAAGGCTTAACTTTCCGGCAGCCAAGAATATCCGCCCTTCGACCTCTTGGACCCCCTTTCCCATTCAGTGTTTGTGATGTTAATTGCTCTATTGAGGAAACATCTAATATGAAACCAAAGCTGAAAAACGCACGGATTGGGGGCGTTTCCCGACTAGCCCATATTGAATGCCAATTGCTATTCAGGAAACAAATCAGCAGAGATGAAGGTTTCAAGTTTCCAAGTGGACACAGTCTGGTTATGCTGTTTGGACGGCTCCTTTTAGGTTTGCTTTGAACTATGAATGAAGGGAAGCCAAACAAAAACCGCCCACCCATTTTGAGACAAACCCATTCTGGATGATCTAAGCCCACATTTTCTCGAAAGTCCGTCCTTAGTTCTTAGTTCTTACATGGCACCAGACAGGTCAGGATTAGTAGAACCCAACTCTCCGCGTTTGGCGTGGGGATGGGGCCTCGAGTTGCGCAGGAGTTGCAGGAGGCGGAGGCGGAGCTGCAGAGTTGCCGGTCCCAGTTGAGCTTCGCCCCCCGCCTGAGCTCACTTCGGGACACGAGCTGGGATTGCTTTGGACACAACCGGTTGCCCAAAGCCGACCTTTTCACCTTTTCGTTTTCGAGTTTTGGACCATTTTTAGTCAAGGTCCCAAAAAGGTTAACCTTTTATGCTTTGATTCCCTGCAAGAAGCATGTGGGCTGTGGGGGTGCCTTATAACGTTATGTACGCCAATAACAAGGTGCAGGAGTGCCTTCAAAATTAGCCAACAAACGACGGTGTCGACGTTTACCATCGCGTCCTCTTAAATCGGTTCAGTTCCTTACTTGGGGGATTCCTGAATGCGACTGTGTGAATGGATTCATTACTTGGAACTTGGAAATTCAGGTGGTATTCCTTGCTTCAGACGTCCTCCTTTGCTCGAAACCCACAGGTACCGTTTTTTGCTTGTGGACTTTAAGTCAACACTCCCCTCCCCCCTCAACCTCAAAAGGGACCCTTTGGCCCTTGGCGGGTTTCCGTGTTGGTGGGTGGGGTGGTTCCTCCAAAGGCAACCCGCGGCCTTCGGTCACCCCCTCCTCCCAAGCTCCGCGCCCGCTGAGGCGCGGCAGGGGTCCAGGCACCACACGCTGCGCGCCCAGCGACTGGAGCTGGAGCTCCACGCGGAGCAGCGCAGCCTGAACCTCCAAGAGCTCGAAGGCGCGCCTCGCCGCGATGTCGCGAGAAGTTGGCCCAACCTCCGGTTGCGGATGAAAATGCTTCTCAGTCGAAGCCAGTTTTTTGTTCTGATCAGACTGCAACATTTATCCTGGTCGGCTATTTTGGCGTGCCAGGCAATGCTGGTTGCTTGCCGGAGTCTGTGGTGGAGGCATGGGGGGTCTTGACCGGGGAGCAGCTCGTGTGACCGCAAGGCCAGTGGCAAAACACATGTTCTTTGCAAAGAGGGCGCTAGCAGCAGCATTAGGTGGATTGAGAGCGTGTCATGAGGATCCTTTGTCAAAGTCGGATAGAACTCACGAGGTTGGCATTTTCTCGAGAGGTTCTTGATGCAGTCTCTTCAGACGTGTTGCTGAACGACCCATTTGTGAAGACTGGGTTCCGGTGTGCTCATGTTTCCTGATATCTCCGCTGAGAGCCCACCCGAGGTTTGCCTGTTCTCGCCAAACAGTTGGTTCCAAAAGCCAAAAGGATATATCTTCGCACATTTTCCTGGAATTCGATGGCGTCGCTCCTAGATCAGCAGACCAGCACCCAGCCATTTGTCAAGGACGACCTGTTGGGCGCCCTGCTGCCAGGACCTCGGCACAGCGGAGATGCTTTGTGCACAGGCGCGCTGCTCAGCGCAGGATGGCCAAGTCATCCGGGCGAAGGCACGGTGCTGCGAGCCAACGCTCGGGTTGAACCGCCAGGATGAAGTCTGCTAAGGAGGCAATTCGTTTGATGCCCGCAAAGGACTCCAAAAAGAGAGATATCGTCATGATATCGTGAGGTTTCAAAGGTCTTGTTGAGCGACCAGATTTCTCCCATGCCCAACCCGGCCTTTGGACATTTTGGTCCACTTGCAATTTTAAGCTCCCAAAAGGTCAAGCTTTCTATGTCAGCGAAGTTCGATCAGAGTTGCCTTTGGATGCTCGTTTGGGAGAAATATTGGGGAGGGAGTCTACGCTCAAAACAGACGCGCAGCACTTTTGCGCCACGATGGAGGTCAAACATTTCTTCCGGAATGCCTATATCCTTCTGTCGCATGTGCGGCGACCTTCGTTTCGGACAGCTGAAGCTGGATGATGAAAACGCGATGCCCAACATGATGTCCTTCTTGTGTGCACGCTGGCTCCGGCACAGGCAGTGGAGACGGCACGCATCCTGTTGCAAGCGCATGCGGTGCTGGCGGGCGGCCGTGCTGCCTGGGATGCGCCTGAGATGTCATGGGGTGGGGAAGGCTGTGCACATGGCGCGCTATCACACCGAATGCCCGTTGCATGCTTTGGCTGGAGGGAAAGGCTTGTGGACATTGCTTTGCAGTGGGAGTATTTGCGCCTAGCTGAAAGCTGTCGCAGGTCTTGGCTTTGAAGACCTTGAGCCAAGGGGGCAGTTTTTCGAAAGCTCTGAAATGGGTTGTTTCGTTGTGCCCTTTTCGCGTGGGGCCTGGCTGTTGGCCTTGCTCGCTTTTTCAATCTCGGGATGTTGATGTGAATTGGAGTGGGGTGAAACGAGCGGATGGTGCTGGTTGAAGCTTTCAACTTGGCCTCTTGTTTGGCAACCTCGAGATGCCTCTAAAGTGGCAATTGAACATTTGGATAAGACACGCAATTGCTTTTAAGGCATGAAGTTTGGTTGGACATGTGTTTTTGTCGATTGCGTGCAACTCAGACTGCTCTGGATGCGTGATTTGAACCATTGAGGAGTACGTGCTTAGTTGGCGAGGCATGGCTCGGACAACTTTGCAACCTCCAGCTTGCGGGTAAACAGTACCGGAAAAGGCAGTGGACCAGACTGCGACCTTTGAAAGCCGATCTGAAAGAACCTTTTGGTTTTTCCTTCCACTTCTAGTAAAGGCCCCACAAGGTGACCGCCTTTTGTTTCCGCAAGTGAGTCAGAGGCCGACAGCTGCCGAGAGCTCCTCGAGGATGCTTGCGCCACGCGGAACTCCTTGCACTTCGAGCAGCCCAGCATGTGTTGGCTCAGGTCGAATTTGTCGAAAGCATCGCCCAACTTGAAGGGCACCGCAAAACTTGACCCAAGAACCGATGTCGCCCTGCCCAAGGCTTTGTGTGTTTTTCTCGGCCCAGCATGGGTTGAGGGATCCCTTGACTTTTTTCCTTGACAGAAAGAAAGGAGGTTTTGCCAGCAACCAGCTCTCGTGGCGGCTCTTTGGCTCGACATTTTCAACCTTTAGACTTTTGGGAAGCGGCTGGTTCAAGACAGCACAAAATAATTCAACATAGCCCTTGTGCAAAATCCCACAGAGCCGTTGCCTGCGATAGACGATTCAGCTTTTGTTTGGACACAGCACACCCTCATGTACCTCTTTCTGCAGGTTTGGACTCGGCCAAAAGAGTACCCTCCCCCAGTACGCAATATGTGCTTTCCGTGTAGGGACATACCCTGGGCAACAGTAATTATTTCAGGGGCTCTGAAAGTCGGAGTTGCAAGTCTAGACGCTGAAAGTCGGAGTTTCCTTTCGGGGTTCCCTTTTGCGCAAAGACGCACTTTTCTCCCGGTCCAGTTTGCTCGAACTGAGGCAGAACCTGGCGGCCGAGCTGCGTGCCAGGCTGAGCAGCGAGGCCTCCGCGGCCCAGGCGAGGAAGGGAAGAGACTCGCCAGGGGCACCGCGCGACCCCCGGAGGTGTGGTTTTGGGGAGGTGATTGGCTTACTTACTCTATTAAGACCTCACTCCCTGGATTTCTGGACTTCGCACTGTTTGGGAAGACCAGCTAGGTGGAAGTAACAGGTTCGGATTGTTGGTGCATGATGGTTTGTAATGTTTTGAAGGGTGGTTTCAAAGGCACTCTTTTTTGTGGTTTCGAAACCCTACGGCCCACCAGGCCGCTTTGAGCGAATACGCGCGGCTCCGGGGCCGTCGGAGTGTGCTGCGAAAAGAGGCGCTTGCAGGGCCCTCAGAATGCCCAAGGGATGGGGGCGATCACGATGGTTGGCAAGTGGAATTCCGTGTGCAACGATGAGCCATTTGATGATTCCTCACCTGGCGGGGTCTAAGAGGCAGCATGCAGCTGACAGCCAAATGGTTCCTGCGTTCCTTGCCTGGTTTGAGGCAGACACCCGGCTCCAGGACGAGCCACTCTGCGAAGCCAACGTGCCTTGGTCCAGGTTGGTTTGGAACCTCCCCCGCTCGGGAATTAGCATCGCTGTCCAAGGGCAAGATTGGCTTAACCAATCAGGCTCCTTGTCATGGGGAACCCAAAGGAGGTTTGGACCAATAGTTGTTTGAACTCATTACTACACTGGTTGACCCAACTCTGTTTCCTGGCGAGCAATCCCTGCTCCATCCCATCAGCTCACGCCAGTGTGAACATCACATTTATTGGGTGATTTGTCGGTGATTTACCCGTCCGGTCAGGCATGGCATGTTGATGGGGTTGCCCACTTGGCTTGGAAGCAGTTACTCTTCCATGCCCATTGGGAATGAGGCCCTGCGCTCAGTGGTTTTCGTACTCTGCCAGTTTTCCCTCTTTGCTTTGTTGGGTTCCCTGGTCATCCCCCCCAAAACAGGCTTTTCGGTAGCAGGTCCCTTCAAGAGGAAACTGATCTTCCAGGTGCTGCGAGGCAGTTGTGGGAGGGAGGGTGTTGCTCAGGCACATACAGCGCAGTTGCTGGATGAGGCAGAAGTGCTTCAGACGCTTGCTGGAAAGCGGGGGTGTCGGTGTGAACCGTAGCCTTGGAGGAGTCAAGTGCTTGAAAAATACCCCGGGGCTGTCTAGTCTAATGAAACATTATCACTCCAACGTGCAGATTGGAGTTGTCCTTCCTAAGCTGTGCCTATAGCAATCGGGTGGGGGGATGGGGGTGGGGGCGGGGCTGTGCTATTTATTTTTTCATATCAATGCGTTGTAGACTCGATTCCCCCGTCTCAGCGTCCATAAACAGTGCCTGCTTGCTTTCTTGCCTGCTTGCCTGCCTGCCTGCCTGCCTGCTTGCTTGCTTGCTTGCTTGCAGTACTTCCCACCTCGCTCAAGTGTCAACTTTGTTTTTCACCCTCATGGTGTTGCGTGCCCAAACTATGTGGTGCTGCAATGTTTACACTTATCAATGCAGCACTGCATCAGTTTTCCCTGTATGAAGATTAATGTAAAAGCAACAATGCAATCATGTCTCTCATTGTTGAGCCTCGTGTGGCTTGGGCTGAGTGATGATGGCGAGCAACATAGCCAAGGTACCAGACCGGACAGACCATTGGGGGATCCCCTTGATTGGCAACCCTGGCGGAGATGAAGCTGTTCCCCTCAAAATCGAAGGATCCCCGCCACAGTGAGACAACCCTTTGCTATTTAATCAACCAGCGAGTTGTAAGTTGCCATGCGCCTACAGCAATTTGTGAATTAGGCATGTGGCCTAGAGGTGTACAGCAGGGGTACGGAACAGACCGCTGCTGCGTGCTGTTTCACTGGCCTCAGTCATGAAATTGACTTGTTCACTCAACGCAGGCAGCACGCTTGCACTTGCTTTGTTCCATTTAACAAAGGATGCAGTAATGTTCAACTAAGCATCATCAGTCATAGCGACAAAGCAATCCTGGTGGCGGAGTCGGCGGTTGCTTACTCCAGCAGGTGGGTCTTGGACGAATCAATCGCCATGGTTGGGCCAAGGAATCAGCTGGAGCTGGCTTTGGGCCATGACCTTTGGCGTCGCATGCGGAAGCCGGAGCCGAAGGAACCGAAGGAGACGAAGGAGCCCGGCTCTGACAGGGACTGGCGGATTTCGGGGGCGATTTTTCCCCCAATGAAGGATACGTAGAAGTCTGCCAAATGGATCTTTGCAGCTTTGCACTTATGTTGTTTTTTGCGTGGTCAGTTTTTTGGCGCACGCAGTAGCCGTGTTGGTGAGTTGGAGTTCTTGCAGAGATGTCCTTGATCCAGTTGGGTTGGTGAATTTGGGCCCATGCGCAGGGCCACCTTCGTTGTGTGTTTGCGGGTTGTCTTCAATGGTCAGCCCCAAAAAGGGTTCCCTTTTGCCACTAGGGTCGCTGGGTAACCGGCCGGGCGTGCAGCGACTAGGAGAATGACAAGGTCTTGGACGGCCCAGCAGGCACACGTCCAGAAGAGGACGCGCCTCAATAAGAAGAGAGGTCGGTTCTTGTAGATACTGCCGTGCAGGTGAACAATAGTGTACAGTGTAAACATATTTGTGTTGAAGGTGAATGTGGGACGGCAGCTATGAATTGGGAACACAGGGAACACCTTGCAAGAATTGGTCGAGAAATGCATATCTCCAAAGAGCGGTTCTACCAACAAGTCCGCGCTAAAGGAGATTATGAAGTATATATATATATAAACTTCAATATATTACACCGCTTGAATAATTACATTAAACATTACAATAGTATTTTTTAGGTTGTCAAAAGAATTGTGATAAAACAAATTTCTTGTTTTTTTGTTGTGTTGTGTATGTGCTAATATGCAGATTGATACTCAATTCAACCGTTTAGAGTCGTGAGTCTTATACAAAAAGGCTGGAGAGAGCGCAAGCCAAAACACCAGTCCGTTACTGAAATTTGGGCCCTTTCATCGCCCGTGCTGAGGCAACCGATCAAGCCGGCCATTCTGATGGGGCCGCGACTGCCGAGGTGTTTGCGCCTGCTGAGGCGCGAGAATCTGTTTGGCAGGTTGGTTGACTGCCTGCTTGGTTCTTTTTTGCGCAAGCTAAGACCTAACCGCGGCCATGAGGTTGGCTAGAAGGAGCCACTGAGATGAACTCATGCAGCGATGGCGTCACGTGCAGCCGGTGCATCCTCAACATGTAACATTGACATGTCCAGAAGAGGGGCATCCAGCCAGAACTCAACTAGAACCAACAAAGCAGACCAAAGCAACCAGAACCAAGCAGCATGCAACCACGAAGCAACCTGAATTAAACATAGGCAACCAGGGCGACCGGGTGCCAAGCCTCGCATGAGGGACCCACCAGATAACTCATGGTGAGCGTGTGGGAAGTGCCACTGGGGATCAGCGGTCCCTGTTATCTTAAAAGATGTTGCAATCCATCCTCATTCCCAAACAGCAGCACATGGAAAATAAGAATGTCCTTGCAACTTCATGTTTGCTTGCCAATTGCGCTGCATTCACAGCATGTATTTTCCTCGACACAGGTTAAACAACACATTGCGGTGGCAACGCTACTGCATGAAGCTTGCGCTTGCTGCAGCCCAAATCTTGAGCACAAGCCAGTCAGCTTTTTGTGCATGCAGCCATCACTGAGCAACACTCCAATCCAGATCCTGATGCCTCTGAGAAACTGCTGTTTCAGCGTGCATCCATGAAAGCACCATGCATCGACGGAAGGCGCCGGGATCCCGTGCCGGAAGCAACGCTGGCAGCTGCGCTGGGAGCGTGGCTGAAACCGTGCCAGCGGCTCGTGCATCGCAGGCGCTGTGTTTGCTTGGTCGTGCAACCGACTCAGAAGGGGTTGTCACATGCAGGGGGGTGTGATGGGTTGTCAACATGACGGATTCCTAAAAATTGCACACAAGGCAGTGCAAAATGGGTTTCAATTGGGTCAACCTCCCCAGATGTTGTTTGTTTGTTTCGCCTGGCGGATGTTGCAGCAATTGAGTTGCATTCCTTTCTGTCTGTCTTACTGTCGCAGGAGAGTTGCGCATGACAACTTCCATGCAGCAAGTGGTTTTAGCTCTTATTTGGCCTGACATTTGTTGAACTCTTGAATGCCGCGGGCGCTCGACAGATTTCTGACTTATCTCAACCTCACAAAGGAGGTTTGCAGCCTCTCTCTTGAATCTCACTCTTGATGCAGGTTTCCGGGGTCAGCTTGCCTTGGGTATGAATGGATGAGCATAAGGCTGGTTTTCACGCAGAGGAGCCTTGGAGGCATGCAATGCTTGGGCTGCTGCCATGCTGGCTCCGAATGCCTGTTCAAAACATCTAAGATTCGGCTGAGCCTGCTATTGGTGCCCACATCTAGCCCATGCCCACATTTTCCATCGGATAGGCCGGGCTGCACGCCACCAGGTGTCCCTGCCGGGCGTTGCACCACGAGAGGCCTCGGCCCTGCGCACTGCGCAGGGCCAAGAACTACAGGAGCTGCAGGCGACTGGGGACGGGGGAGCAAGGGCCGAGGTTGCAACCTGCAAGGGCGGAGAGATTAGCCTCCCAAGGGCTCAGGATCTTTGCAGTCGCCTTTTAATCCTTGTTGATAGGCCTCCGCAGGAGTTGTAAGTTATGAGTAGTGCTGGATGAGGGGGCCAATTGTTTTGTTTGTAAACTGCAACAAAAGCAAATGAAAGAGTCCATGTGTTTGTTAGTTTCCTTTCCGGCAGTTTCCGGCATTACCTGCTTTTGTTGCTTCTATTTTCAGTATTGTCCATGCCGCGTCACACATTACTTCACTAATGCTCAGTAAGTTTCACTAACAGTTCAATAATTACTGCACTCATGTGCCACTCATGTGCACTGATTCCTTCGCACATTCTGTCACAATGGTTCTTTGTTCTACTCATTTTTTCGCTCATGTTCTTCAACTTGTGTTCGCTCTTTTTCTGAAATGTTCACCAATTGTTTGACTAGCTTTCACTGAATTGTACTGCCAGGATTTCCATATTGCATTGGCCGTGGTGTCCAGGTCAGCACATTGGTTGTGTAAGTGCATGATAGGCCTGAATTCGAATCCAAATGGAAGGAACTCACCTGCGGATAGACAAGTTGACGACAAGCGCAGTACGGGTTCCAGTTGGTGAGCGATCGCGTTGTGTGCAGAGGATGCATGCCTGGGAGGAACCACAAAAGAGAAGCACACCATGGAACATCAGGTGAGCCATTATAAAATAAAGTCTCGCACTTCGGCATGCTATTTATGTGGCCATGCCTAAAGAACCCCGGCAGTTAACTCAATAAACAGGTTCTGCTTCTGACGTGTGCGGCCTCCCAATGCGTCGGAGGCGTCGGAGCCGGAGCCGGCTCCACGGGGCTGGCGCGCCAGCCGCGCCCGCTCCAGCGGGGAGGCGCTGAGCAGCGAAGAGATCGACGCTCGGAGCTTCCGGCGCTCCGCGGAATGAGCCGGAGGTGTCCTGGAAGACCATTTTTTAGATTTTTGCGGTAAAGGGAACATAAGGGAACCCTTAGTTTGGGTTATAAAGGTTCCACGGCCAGTGATGCGGTTTTGTTTTTTCCGGTGTGTTTTGCCAGCTACCCGCAAGGAGGTTGCCCTTTTTTCCGGATGGCCTGAGAAGGGTAGCTGGCCAGCCCCCAAGCCCCAGTTCTGGGGGCCTTCTTCTTGGCCACGCCGAGGTGTCCCCCCCCAATTCATGGAACTCCTCCAGAAATGGTTGAATACCGTTTGGACCTGCACTTTCTGAGAGGTAAGAGTGAAAGGGGAGGCCATGCCCGGCCAAATAAAAAGGCAAGGTCCCCCATACAAGCTTTCTTTGTTGGATTTGTTGGCCATGACTTTCTCAGTTAGGGAGGGGGACTTAGCTTGAGAACTTAGTGGATTTGGTTTGAATCTTGTTTGGAGTCAACTCTCTCATGGCGCGAAGAAATACAGTTGGGCGAGCGTAGACAGCACAATTCAACAATTCTGGCTTCATTTTCAGGATTACATACATGTGCTTGTGAATAGACGGATCGGCCGGCACCTGACCCCTTTCGTCAGGGTGGAAGACCCACCCATGGATGTTGCTGCTTGAGTTTGGAGGCGCGTGGTTGCTTTCCCAAAAGTTTCCGAGCAAGTCGTACGATGCAATCAGGGTTTCCGCCAGTGTCTTGATGATTTGACTATGCTTGCGTGGGCACAGTGAAGCGATGTGAGGCGTGAAGCAAACAAGCCATAAGGCAGCCAAAGCCACGAAGCAAACCAGGTTTGAGTCGAGTTTTCCATTTTCCAGAATATCATTTTTGGACCCCAGCCACACCCACATGCGCGCTTTTTCCGCATCGAGTCGAGGACGCAATGCTGGATGTGGAGTCCAAGGTCCGGAGGACTTCGCACACCAGCGAGCTGCACACCGAGGTGGCATCTCAGCAGCAAGTGGTGATGGGCTCCTCGTGGCGGAGGGGCTGGGCACATCACCAAACGAGAAAGTCAGCTCCCAAGGGTTGTATTTTTTTTTGGGCGCTTCTCCGAATGGACCCCCAAGCTATGTGGCAGAGGCGTGAGATGCTTGAATTTGTCCAATGGACGGGCTGTGTGCTAGGTGAAGGTGGAACCCCGAAAATGCGTTGATGTTCACGGTAGCATGAGGCGGAGCGGACGCGACGAACGCCTGCAGAGCTCAGATCCATGGAGACGCAGACGGAAGCTGCTCGACGGGACGTTTGTTAATTCGGACTGGTTGCGCTGAAGCATTGCGACTGGCCTCGCCGAAGAGCAAAAACGCCGTTTCGCTTGGTTTTCATCTTGAACTCCCACATTGTTCAGGAATTGGTGCTCGAACACCTGATTTGAACACTGTTTGTGGGGGTTTCCTCTAGGAGCGACTCCAAACACATGGCCAATCCAAGGACCAGCCAAATCCCAGATGTGGAGGATCCCCCAAGCAGCTCGTTTTGGTCGGGTACTCTTTCTCCAGGTGCCGTTTCGGCATTCTTAACGTGGCCCCAAGGAGCTCCGCCGCGCTAGCGTGCGACCGAAGCCTGTGACGGAGCAGTCGGTTCAGGCGAGGACGGGAGAAAATGGCCACCTGGGGGTACTGGGTTCCGACAGTTTCTGATGACGTCATATTTCTCGGTCGGTTTTGGAGGATTCCTCTGACTGGTGCATTTTGGGTTGCCAGAGTTCGAGCTGCTTTCGGGCTTTTGTAGGCTTCGCAAAGATATGATCTTCAGATTTGCATCGAAAGACCTGGGCGGCATGGGAAAAGTCTCAAAGCGCAGGCAACCTATAATCGCGCAAGTAGTATCCCAAATTAGACATGTCAAGGAAATTCAACTATTCCCTGCTGGCAAAATTAAGAATATTAACAGAATTGGCTATTGCTACTGTCGGGCACGCTACGCACACTGTATTAGTTGTATTCAGTACGCGCCAGCGTTCAATGGCAAAGATGGGAAGCGTTGCTTGTAGGAATTGCTATGATTATTGGGTATGACTGAGCAGAAACAAGAGTTTGCGCAGCTCGTTAACGTTGGCTCTCGGCACCCGAAAGGATCCTACCTGTTTTGACAAGGCCAAGAAACGCCCGCGACACACCATGTAGGACTCTTCATCCAAAGTGCACTGCTTTGGGAAATCAGTTGTTCAAATTCTACCCACTCAAACTGTTTTTTGTGGCTTCCCCCTATAATTAGCCCCGAACAGAAGTGGCAGGGAAGTTGCGGGTTTCCCCTGATTTGTCTACCCCAAAGGTCCTCTTTTTCCAGCTTTCAGGTCATTGGTTGCCTGAGCCGCTCAGGCCTGCTTAGAGCCCAGCCGCGTGTCGGTGGCAGTGGCCACGGATGTGCCTCAGCGAGAACCCGGGCCAGCCATGTGACTAACCTTGACAGGGATACACGATGATACACGAGTGTTACACAGTAGATCTACATACAAAAGAAAGATGGAGAGAGAGAGAGAGAGAGAGAGAGAGAGATAGAGAGGATGCATACAAAGATTGCACAACGATTACTGTATATCGAACATGTATGTACGATATGTGTTGTGTGGTGGTCTCTTGCTTAATGTTGGCACTTGATTAATAAAGGCCCCCCCCCCTGAACAATGGAGGCGCCAAAATAATGGGGGCACTTTTGGGACGTCCAAACAATGGAGGATTTTGGGGCCCAATTCTACTTTAGTATTGCAGCCACTTCCTTTTTGCAATTCTACTTTATTATTGCAGCCACTTCCTTTTCGCAATTCTACTTTAGTATTGCAGCCCCTTCCTTTTTGCAATTCTACTTTAGTATTGCAGCCACTTCCTTTTTGCAATTCTACTTTAGTACTGCAACCGATTGAAAGGGGAATGCTTTTAAGCAAGTGGGCCACCAATTGAAAGGGGATGCTTTTAAGCAAGTGGGCCACCAATTGAAAGGGGAATGCTTTTGAGTAAAGCAACTGATAGTTTATTTTCTGGGAGGGGGGGCTGGGGGCTTGCAACTAATGTGGTCCCCTTTAAAAGAATGACATTATTGTGGTTCAGTGGGGTCTGTGAGGGGTACCCTTGTCCTGATTTGTTTTTGGCATTTTTTAAACATGGTTTAGTAAAGAGTTTGCAGTTTCAGGGCTGGGGATGGTTTTCAAATTTGCTTTGGGTTCTGTGGTTGGGCAACCAGTTGAAAGGGGAATGCTTTTAAACAAGTGGGCCACCAATTGAAAGGGGATGCTTTTAAGCAAGTGGGCCGCCAATTGAAAGGGGAATGCTTTTGAGTAAAGCAACTGATAGTTTATTTTCTGGGAGGGGGGATGGTTTTTTAATTTAAAATTGGTTTGTGGAGCTTTTTTTTCTCGAATTTTCTCCCGGCCAAAAAAGCTTTCAATTATTCTGGTCCCCCCTAACTAAACAATGGGTGCGAACCAGAATAAGAAAAAAACACTTTCTATTATTGACGCACACTTGATTAATCAAGTGCCAACATTACTTTATTGATTGTGTGCTTGTTTGCTTGTGTGTGTCTTTGTCTTTTCTGTATGTTGTTTTGGTGTTTTGTGTGTGTTGTGTGTTTGTGTGTTTGTTTGTTTGTTTGCTTATTGTTTGCTGGATTTGTTTGTTTGTTCGCTTGGGTGTTTGGTCGCTCGTTTGTTTGTTTGCTTGCTTGCTTGCTTGTGTTTGTTTGTCTATTTGTTTGTTTGTTTGTTGGCTTTTTATATTCTGGGTTGCGAGTGTGTGGGTTGTGCATGCGTACATGTGTGTGTGTGCGTGTCAGTGTTTGTTTGGCGTGTCTGTGTGTGTGGCTGTGTTTGTGTTTGGGTTTGTGTCTGCATTTGTGCCTGTATTTGTGCTTGTCTGTGTGTGTGTGTCTGTGCGTCGCGGGTGTGTGTGTGTGTGTGAGTGTGTGTGTGTGAGTGTGTGTGTGTGTGAGTGTGTGTGTGTGTGTTTGTGTGTTTGTGTGTCTGTGTCTGTGTGTGTCTGTGTCTGTGTCTGTGTCTGTGTCTGTGTCTGTGTCTGTGTCTGTGTGTGTGTCTGTGTCTGTGTGAGTTTGTGTGTTTGTGTGTTTGTGTGTTTGTGTGTTTGTGTGTTTGTGTGTTTGTGTGTTTGTGTGTCTGTGTCTGTGTCTGTGTCTGTGTCTGTGTCTGTGTCTGTGTCTGTGTCTGTGTCTGTGTGTGTGTCTGTGTCTGTGTCTGTGTGAGTTTGTGTGTGTTTGTGTGTTTGTGTGTTTGTGTGTTTGTGTGTTTGTGTGTTTGTGTGGGTGTGCGTGTGCGTGTGGGTGTGGGTGTGTGTGTGTGTGTGTCTTTGCGCAGGGGCATATGTGATGTTCCATCATGGGCATACAGTGGTGGGACTGAGCTCCATCGAGAAATTCCATGCGGTTGCAGCAAATGGCAGAGCCATTTAGATTCATTGGTGCGACTACTATTGGCGGACTCTTCAAGGTCTTCTTGACGTCGTTTGGACAAGGGGCCTTTGAACCGCAGCGCGCCCACATGTGGGTAGGTTGTGGTTCAAGTCCTGCTAGTCCTCGTGTGAGTGCATGCTTTTTGGAGGCATCCGGTTAAGTGGGAGGTCCCCTTGGAGAGGAAGCCCTTTTTGCAGGAACTCGGAAAGGACAGGAGCAAGAAAGAACGCACGCAAGGTTGGCAACCATCCATTTGATCTAGGGGAAAGAATGTGCTGAATGGCTGAGGCCTGACTGTTAGTCTGTTAGACTGCAAAGCTGGTCACATCTTGACAGGTTCTCAACCCTCAAAAAGGAGATGCCCATTTAGAGGGTAGTGCAGGATGTCACGGTCATGGACCCAGGCGGAGGTCTTGGAGACACCGCGCAACTTGCGGAGCTCGCAGTCGCCATCCCTGGCCTTAGCTGCCACCAGCGTGGGGACCAGTGAGGCCGAGCAGAAATTCCTGAGGGGCCATAGGCCATCGGGTAATTATGTGGCTTTCCCCGAAGCAAAAGGCATCGTCAAAAGCACAAGCCCAATCGCCGCACGGCTGGCGTCTAACGCTGACCCAGGCGAAGTAAATCCCTGGTTTAGTCGCCGGATGCAACCCGCTCTCACTTTTTTTAGGGGACACGGTCGTCATCTAGAAAATACCTCTCCCCGCCATCCCCCCCCATTTAGTACTTCTTCGACCCTTGCGTGGGAGTGACACAGGGGACTCAAAAAGAAGCCAAGAAATCCTCAACTTTCCCATGTTCACTTGTTCACTGGCCAACAGACAATGACAGCGGCTTACAGCCAAACATGTCCAAATCATTTTGTCAGGTCGGAACCTTGGAGGATGCGAGCCCTTTGGATGCCACACCTCGAACCCTCGACCTGACAGAGGCCTCCAAGGCTGTCGCCCAGGCGAGGATTTCCGGGTGCCGGCCCCGAATCCCACAGGAAATGATGCAAGCCAACTCGCCAATAGGGTCCATCATGGTTAGCTTGTTGTAGGACATGTTCGTAGCGCATTCCCCGAGGTTTCCCTCTTCCGCCCCTGGCTTCGCTTCAAATCAAGCGGCAGATCTGTGCAGGCGGCTCATTTTCTGTTTCAGTGTGGGGTTTGGACAGAGAACAATTCGCCTCGGCTCGAGCATCTCAGACAGAATTCAGCCTGAGCAGCGGAACGAATGAGAACGAACGAATGAGCCTTGGTGAAAATTGTGCAGCTGACCAACTCACATGAGGGTGAGTCAATACACTTAACTCGTTCCACTGAAGCCCTTCCCTTCCCATGAACTGCGCCTACGGAAGATGTCGAAATCCTGGAGCTCACCAATTCGGTAGCAGTTTTGTGAGCAGATCCCCCAATTACTTCTCATGAAAATGTGAGTCGCTCGTAAGGGGCATGGCATTTCCGTTCACCAGGCCGAGACGCCACGCGGTGCGCGCTCGGGTGCTAGCGCCGCCAGCCGCGGCGCGCGCCTGGCGAAAGCGAAAGCGCCGCGCACGCCACCCCCGCAGGCGCAGTGATGTCGTTTGGTTTGTTGGGCGTGTCTCAAATTTGTGGGAATCACCAAATTGTTTTTTTACACTTTTGCTCCCCATGAGATTGTCAACCAGGAGGTTTAGAAAGAGGCTGCTCCCCTGCCCATCCTCTTTGTTGCGATCCTTTTCTGGGTTCTGGCTGCTCCCCCGCAAAGTGACATGTCTTCGAACAAGAGGCCCTTACTTCTAACAACCAGCTTCTTTTGAGTGCCCTCGATTCATTTTTTGGGTGCTATGAACCATTTTGAAAATAAGGGCACTTAGTCCCAAATCAAAGAGGTCACTTAAGCCATGTAAAGGGCACTTAGACTTTCAGGGTTGCCCTGCCCAGCAGATCCCGCCTCAGTCCGGCCAATTCAGCCGCAGCGACATGTGAATGCGAATGACATTCAAAGAGGGGGGGGACCGACTCGGACCGACGCTGGGCAAATCGAGCCGCAGCGACACTCGAATGACACTCGCGCAGGGGGGGCCGACACTAGCGTAAGTGACCTTTTCAAGGGGTAAGTGATCTCGATTCGCACCCCCACTGACACTCAAATGACACGCTTTGACACTCAAAATGCCATGTTCGGGCTTTCCGGGTCGGCCTCAATCAAAGGTCGCAGTATGTCACACTTCGACACGGGTAGCTGTTCGATTTGAACAGAATGCAAACCCCAAGCCAAAAAGAGCACTTAGCAAACGAATCACAGGGTCAGTTAGGCCACCGACGCGGCCTTAAGTGCCCTCGATTCAAAAACACGTCAAGTGCCCTTCATTGGAGGGCACTAAAAATATGCTGGAATGCGATATTTTGTTGGGTTCCATGTTAAGTTGTAGAATATACGTACAACAGAAGAAGGTGCCTGGAAGACCAGTGTCCTATCAGGACCCCTGTCAAGTGATCCGCTAGTGGGTGCGAGGGTACTTGTTTGTGACTCCGTGAACCTCCCAAGGACAAGGCTCGCCCGCCGAGCCCTGGCCCCAGCAACTCCCTGGCGCGGGCAGAGCGGTCCAGGCCGAGCCCGGAGGCGAGCCCTGAGGCGAGCTCTCCGGGGGCCTGGTGCAGACTTTGCAGCCTGTTTCGAATGTCAAAACATAGAATTGCATGCAACCCCAACCCCCCCCCCCACTTTTACGACTTGACATCCCTACCCCCTGGCAGGTTCGAGACAACCAATGTAAAGGTTCCGATTAGGAGCGTGTGCAGGACAATTGACTCAGCCAAAGCCCACTAGCAAGAATGGCGTGTCAGCTGACATGAATCCCACACTGCTTTGGACACTTATTTTTGGAAAGGTGGTGGTTGGACAACGCGTTTGCCACTGTGCCGCACCGTCAAAGCCAATTCTTTGGCAGACAGCAAGCTCAGCCAAGTCTGTGACGCAGCGGTGTGGAACGTGTGCCACAAACGAAATCAAGTCTTGGATGATGAAACACCAAGGGCGTCCCACCTTACAGGGCATTCAATCCGGGAGGATCCCCCCAATGATTTTTGCCAGGTTGGTTATCCCGGGCGCACAGAACCTAGAACAAGAAACTAAGTGAGGCTCAAAACCTCATCATGCCAACATAAGCTCCAATCACCTTCGAACCGGAGTCCATGTCACAGTGCTTCGCGTCCAAGCGACTTGGCAGGTTCCTCAACAGGAAACCGCAGAGCATATTTATGAAGTGTGTTGTTTTCTCTCACCAGCCGTATGGAACCTGAAGGGAAGCACTGTGGCTCAATCTCCCGCAGGAAGTGCGGCTCCTTTTGTCAGGTCACCCCGAGCTCCAAACGCGCATTGGCATCACCGCGGCCCTTCCGGCCGACGAGCCCCAGCCCGCGGCTCATCACCAAGCACCCCCCGACGGCCGTGCGAGCACTGCCGCAACCGCAGGGCCGGCCAGTGCCCTTCTGGGCCAAAAGCGACTCCCTCAGCTGCCCGGCTGGGATGGATTCGGGGCACATGAGGCACACCGCCGGTTTCTGCCATATCGCCCATCGCCTTTGAAAGATGAAGGGTGTGGCTTGTGAAAGTGGTTCGTTTAAGGTCGTTCTGGGAAGACAGATGATAACTGGGAGGCCTCGGCCCTCCCCCGAATTCCTTGATGGGGCACCCAACGGTCGCCCTTTCTCTTCAACTGCTTGGAGTTTGTTGGTTGGGTTTGGCCAGGGCAGCTTGTTGATAGCTTGTTGTTGTAGCTGCTTCTTGGGCACTGATGGGCCTGGCAAGCTCTTTTGTGGCATGTTGGAGCTGGGGTATCCTGCGCAACAGGTGTGCAGGATCTGACAAATGCGCGCTTCCAGGAAGATGTGTTGTGCGCTTTGCTTGATTCTGGGCCGGAGTGAGTTGGCATGCTTGCTTTGTTGCACGGAGGCTCTACCATCTCTAAGCGATCTGCATCAACATCCCCACGCTGGTAAAGATTCAGCCTTTGCAGCCTTGCTACGCTGCGCTACCCCATCACGCCGAAGAAACTGGCTGGCAGCTCCATCGGATTGCAAAGCTCGCCTGTTGGAACACTGGACATGCAACATCCAACACCTTGGCCCGGGGCTGGCTCCTCAAGATGGTCAAGGTCTGTCTCGAGGCAACTGAAAGCTGGAATTGCTCAAGGCTGTCAAGGCGCCTTTCGAACACACGCCTTCGATTGCTTGAGGCCTTTGTACGTGTTCGGAGAATTGGCTGTAGTGCGGGGCCGGCGAGGGCAAAATCAGCGAACGCTCGGCGCTGCTGGGTGAATGCCAAAGGCAGGTTGGAGGTCTTTCCTCATTGACTGGAACCAGGAACCGCCCGTGATGGAAAAGCCGCAGTCAAAGGAGCCCTACCCTTGACAGGTGTGTTTTGTGATCGGCATCACTCCCTGGGGTTGGTTTGCAGTCCCCCACCCCCGCAAATTGTGGGTCCCTCAACAAAAGAATGCAAAAGGCCCAACTTTTTTTAGGGGTGTGTTGGGCCAATTTGGGCCAAACATCACCGGCATTCACGCATGTGGGTGACTTGTCCTTCCCATGGGGTGTGATGCTCTGATGGGACATGTGAATCTGGGGAACATTATGGAACTTGAGAATGGCCTGACCTGCTAACGGGCAAGGAGCTGGTGATTCTTCGTGAGGGATCGGGGCTCCCATGTCCAAGTGAACGGCATGGCATTAACTGTTATCGCTGGAGTTTGTAGCAGTCAAGTGGCTTATGAGGGTCGTTGGGACGGCGGACGCTTTCGATACTGCAAGTAGCGAACAAGGAATCCTTTGTACTTTGCCGGAGTTTCAATCTACTGTGGCTCGACGGGGTTGGCTCACTCGCAACATTTCGGGAATCCACCGTCACGCGCGCAAAAAGCTGCAGCCACACTGGGCTCAGCTCATGTGGCGCTGGGGAAGAGCGATGAAGGCGCAGAGACTCACGAGCTGGTTTTCGCTTCGACCTGTGGTAATTACCCTGGTTCGAGGGTGTCGCCCTTGGGGACACAGGGCCCGGTAGTGCACCTTTTGAGGGGGTTCCCTTAAGAATTATCCTGCAGAATGATCCAGCCCAAAGGCCTAAAGTTGTTCCCGCCGTTCGGCCGAGCGCGCAGGCCACATGGATGGCCCCAGACAGGCCCAGAGGGGCGGGGTCGCTGCGCAGGTTCGCATGGGGTCTACGCGCTTTCTCATTTTGCCCCCGGCAAGGGCGTCAAAGATCGTGCTTCAGAATTCGGAAAGTGCGGATCGTACCCGGCGGCGGGCTTGCGGAAAGAGTAGATGTATCGTAAGCTCGCTGCTCTCCTGGGGTTTTGACATTAATCTGCCCCAATGCCCAACACATCAAGCCTTTGCTTGCTCAAATGCTTTTGGCATGATCGTGATGGATCTTGACATGTTAGGATATAGGATTGGCAAATGAATGTGGGTACAGAAGGGATGTCGTCTGGGTTGGCAGAATACCAAAACCCTAGTGATCATGAAGCAAAGAAAGACACGGGGGGCCAGCATGGGCCTGGCCAAGTAGTCCTTGGTCCAGTCCTCTCTGGCTTTCAGAATTCGTTCAGGTTGAATCATGCTGACATGTGTGTGTGTGTGTGTGTGTCCCTCTTCCTTTGGCTGCAGTTGAGTACTGCAGGGGTCGGCATCCTTCCTCCTTTTGGTGATTTAACCATAACCCTTCAGGCCCATCTTATATCTTAATCGAGTTTCCTTTCGAAGGGCTGATGTTTATAACTATAAGGACCCCTCGAACTGTTCTTAGCCAAGCTCAGTTCTCATTTCCTGTTTTCGATCGGTGTGAATAGTTGATGAACGGTACGACGGTACCCCAGGGGTCGGGGTGTTTGAATACGAAGTGCCAAGCCACCAGACACTGACTTTCAACTGGATCAACATGTTTGGGGTGTGTCCGTTCTGTTGAGCTTACCCTTTTGAAAGTTTGGGTTTCTATCAATTAAGGGTTATATAATGTTGGACCTTGTTTGCTGTGGCAAGGGCTGAAAAACGGACGTGCCAATGGGATTCGGGAACGCACGCAATTCCCCACTGGCTCCGCGCATTTCACATGAGGAACACGCAGTGCTTTTTTTTCCCCATGTAATCGCGGCTGGGGTTGCTCCAAAGCCAAAAACTATATACTGGCGGTATACCTAGCTACTTTTCTATTGAACAGTCTAAATGTATTTACCCCTCAGATCCCCAGTGCTTTGCGTAGTATTGCCTAGTGCAAATCAGCATTACCAGGACTTACTTGTAGATTCCCTTCATATCGCCTAGTCTAAATGTAGTTACCTTTAGATTCCCCCGCAGTTACTTTTTATTACCTAGTCTAAATTTAGTATTGCCAGGACTTACTTTTGGAATCCCGGCAGTTACTGATTTATTTGCTAGTCTATAGTTAGCATTGCCAAGGTTCATTCTTAGATTATCAGCAGTTTCCTTAGTATTGCCTAGAATAAATTTAGTATTGCCACATTTGACCCACACTGAAACAGCTTGACTTTACTTCAAATTAAGAAGACCCCAAAACAGGCATATGACGACAGGATTACTGGCTGGGACCGCTTGCAAAATGGATTTCCTAGTTCTAAGGCCCGCAGTCCTTGAGCTTAACTGTGATGGCGTAGGTACCAGTTCTAAGGGAATTCCTAGTGTTTGCCCGGATGCCTTTTTGTCCGGCAAAGAAACGTGTCATAAAATCATGGTACCGAATCAGGGGGGGTCGTGTTAAAGCCGAGGAAACTTGACATACTTCAGAATCGTTAACCGTGTTTGATACCGTGGTGGGCAAAATCCTGCACCACGCAAGAAACCCTGGAATGATGGTTCCCTGATAAATGCCAACAAATAACAGTTTCCCATGGTTTCCAAGCGGTGCAGGATTTCGTCCATCCACAGTATGCTTTTGTTTGACTGAAGGGAATCCACCCTTTTGGTGGTTGATTTGCGGTTGGCCTGCTGTTGGTTAGGTGAAAGCTGGGTCGTTGCCCCGGGGTTTGTTGGGACACAATTTGTTCGCGAGCGCAGGACGCGGAGCTCCGGGCGGAGCTGGCGGCAGCGCCTCGGAGATTTTGTGTTTGGATTGTTTGGGTTTTGCAGCTAAACATGGGAACCCAGATGAACCTGATGAGTGGGATCCCTTGGATTGGCTTAGTTTTAGGGACTTGGTTGTTTTGGTTGGAACCCGTTCTTTTTTTTCACGCCGTTGCCAACTCAGCCTGTCCAGCTGATAGATTTAGGCTTTTCGCCCAAGCTCAGGAGTGGTTAGGAGTGGCGAAGGGTTGATGTTGGGAATGCCACCTGTTTTCTTTTGTTGTTGTTGCTATGTCTCCCCTGCAAATCATCCTGGGACCGGGGCCCCCGCAGTGTTCTCATGCTTAACCCTCAAAACGAGTTTGTGGTTTGATTTGTGTAGCTTCGTTTTGTGCTTCGCAGTTTCCGCTGCCCAGAGAAACGTCTGTCAAAAGTTGTCCAGCGAGTTTGATTGATTTCAAAAGGAGCCGCCCCCCGATTAGTATGGTCCTTCTAGTTAGTCAACAATCTCGAAGTTGAGATTGAGAAGAGCTACATTCAGAATAGCTGGCGTGTAAGGCTTGCAGTTCCACTAGACTTCAAGCAAACCGCGAAAAGGGTGGTGCGCTGGTTGTGTGGTTGTTTGTTCTGGTATCAAATCCAGGTTGCCCTCCAACTGGCCGGTTTCATGCTGGCTTCTCTGCATGGTGAACACGTTGTAACATGTGTCTTTTTCGCGTTTTCGACGTATCCTCCAGTCCCAGGTTCCCACGGTTGTGCAGCCCCCCCCCGGCCCCCCCCCCCCGACCCAAGGCACAAGCAGAGCTAAAGTCCTGCGGGGGGCCAAGGAGTTGAGGGGTTCGGGGGGAAACGGCACCTTTGAACTGAAGGCAACTCAGCGGTTCAGCATCTTAGGGAGGTGTTGCCTGTTGTCGGGATGCTTTGTGTGTGTGTGCCTGCATGCGCATGTGAGAATCTGTATGAAGGGGTGAGTGGGACGCGGCAAGAGTTGGGCGCAAGCCACCCAAACGTCGGAGAGAGGGCAGCTCGAGGTGTAGAGCGGTTGAGCATCATTTGCTTATCAAGCAGGCATCACCCGTTACAAAGGTCTGGGCAAGTTCCAGCAACCTCACAGCGAGTGTTTGTAGCCTCACCCAGCATGTTACCTACCTGAGGTCTACTGAGACCGCGGCGAAGGTGCTAAGATTGCGTGTTCTTGGATGTGAGGATGGCTTTTCCATTCAGCCGTTTTCGCATGAGCGGAACTGCATTTGGTGGGTAGGCCTCCTGGATGTTGGACTGGGAAATCCGACCCCGCCATGACAGCGATCCCGTGCCAGGGTCGGATGTGACCTCATGTGTTCTTGTTCAATCCTGTTTAAGGGGATTCCATCGTTTGGGGGTGTGACAACCATGGGAACAGATGCGCTGAACGCTGTTCTAACGTAGACAAAGACCCTGCATGGGCATGCACCGCGTTTTTGTCGATCACGGCTTTCCATGGTGTTCCCCTTACACACGAGTTACCCACTAGAGAATGCTGAATCAGGGGTAGGCCTCAGGTCATTTCTGTGAAACCTACGCAGTGACTATTGGTGAAAGACCTTAGGGCCAATACAGGCCCATTTCTGTAAACAATATTAAGCCACGGCCTTGCGACCTGGGAGCAATTTCTAGCGGCCTCAGAACGGGCAAAACAAGCAGCTCGCGGATAGTGTTGCCGGGTTCAATTTCTTAGTTCAAGACTTGGGTGGACTCTTGTATTTTATCAGCACCATTGGTAAGCAGTTCCCCTCCCCTCGTACCACAGCCAGAAACAATCCCTTGTGCACGTAAGGCGAGGCGGAGCTGGCAGCAGAGCGGGATGTGTCGCAGCAGGAGCCGAGTCAAGAGAGCTGGCCCGCTGAATAAATCCCTCTTAGTTTCGTGGTTTCTGAAAGGACATACTCATTGTATACGCCCTGGCCGTCACCCCATCCAACAAGGAAGGCTTCAAGATTGGAATCAATCACACTAGCCCAGAATATTAGCCCAGAACAGGTTCCTATTTTGCTGAAGGGCCACTGGGCAACTGAGTCAGAATTGATAATCGCGTCTCTAAGAGTCTACACCATTTGGGCAAGTCAGAACGAGCTCACTGATTCGGTAGTAACGCGAGCTGACCGACAAGGAAGGTTGTCAGGGGAGTCCTTAGTTTTTGTGCCTGAACTATTGATCCAGGAGGGCTTCCCATATCTCCCGAACCACTGCGACAAGGCTTCAAGGGAGTTGTTTAAATATCATTTGTACACGCATAGTAGTATGTTATTCTTACAAAGTGATTGTGCACCCGATTTTCCCTCAGGGTTTAGTGGTTTGGGGCACCACCATTCATCTCAAGCACAACCACCTCAAAATAGGCTCTCTCTCTCTCTCTCGCTTCTTGGCGCCATTAATAGACAATCTTTCTGCTTTTCTTATGTCCACCGCAAGCTTACTGTCCATTGCAAATGCAAGAAGGGAGCCATTTAGGCTTTACTTACACCCAAAAATGGGTTGTTTCGTTTGGCTTTCCTAGAGCCCCCGCCTGAACGTGGGGTTCCCGTCAAAAAAGACGCGCCGGTATCTGCAGCCGCCTAGAAAGTTTGGGCGTTCCTTTTCACAAGTCCAGCGGGCTGTGTGGGTGTGTCTGATGTACTGATCCCCCTTTCGAAAGGGGCAACCAATCATTGTCTTGTGCGATTTGGCCTTGCTCTCTGTGCCACAGGCCGTATGGGCGTAGGTTCTGGAACCCATTTCAACAGGGCAGGAAGGTCGCTCACCGTCCCAAAAGCGATCCCGAAGCGATCCCTAAGCGATTTCTTCTGCTCAAGAACCTTGGGACGAGATCCCTGAGCGATTTCCGGTGCCGGCTTGGATGTGCAACCCGCTTGCTACGCAGGTCAGAACTTTGGATGCCCCTGTTGGTTGACAGGTAAGTCTGGGTACCACCTACTTTCTAGGTCTGCTATCTCTTTTGCTGTGTTTAATCGGGTCCCTCAACGGATGATTTGAGGCCAGTCACAAACAAACACCAGAGTTGTGTTTTTCCGCTCAGGCCAAAATGTAAAGATGTGCACACTGCAGCTGCGGAAGGTTCGCGGAAGTATGGTTTAATTCCAAGCCAAAGGGACACAGTTGATTTGCTCTTTCCGGAATTTCATAATTTTGCTGCGTTGGCTTTGCACAGGTCCCGCACTAGCTGCGCAGGAGAATTCCTTTTCAAATCAGTTTGTTTTTCTTCAGATGCGTGTATCCTTGAATCAGTCGTGTGTGCAAACGGAGGTACCCCCAAAACAAGAGTATGTGTCCTTTCTGGTGTCCCCTTTTAAGCCCTGACACGCGTGCCTTAAACAAACAGAACTCCTGGACGGCGCACGTATAGCCCCGCGTCCAGGAGCTCATCACCTGCGCCTCGTTGGAGGCCCAGCTCACCGCGGAGAAGCGGAGGAACACCGCGGCGGAGAGCGAGGCGCCGTCCGAGTCGTGGAGTCTCGGGCACGGGTCGGAGGGTCCCAAGGTCTGTGATGGGATCAGGGGGCCTTCGGGCAAGACATGGCAGTCACGCTCTCTAGGTCTTGAGGGGAACACCCTTGGAAGGTTTGTACTGCCTAGTTTTTGCTGTTATGGCTCCATACCTGGGACTCCCATCCCACAAAGGGCCTTTGACCTGAGGTGTGTTTGTTGAAAGAGCAATTCAACCGATTTCTTCTGGGGTTTCTGTTGAAATTATGTTGCACAAGCAATGTCATGGTTTGCGGGTGCCTGTGTAGGACGATGTGTGGCGGGGTTGGGAGCGGGAAAGGGGGGGAAGGGCAGGGAGTTCCGCAAAGTGACATTGAACACAGGTAACAGCGAATAGCTGTCTGTCTTAAGCAACCGCGCATGCTGCCAGGCAACTGCCCAGCAAGTGGCCATACACCGTGCAGAAGCAGAGACACGAATCTCGGCCCAATCCGTTGCGTGCGCATGTTTCAGGCTTTGAAGTCCGCCTCCAAGAGATAAGAGTCTAACTGTATAACCATAGGATCATCTGCAGCACATCACCCAAGGCGCCACTTGCATAGCCATAGGAAAACATACCTCGCATCAGACAAACCACCACTACTTGTATTTTCAAATCCTAGCAACGAAGCAGTGCCTGACTTGGACTAGGGCTTTTCTGTGACAATTGTCCATCATTCGATCGATTAGTCACTTGGCCCATTCTGCTGTTCTTCTATCCCGTTTGTGCCTGACAGGATCCCAGGGCCTGAAGTTGAGGTGGATGGAATGTGGGTTGAAAGGGGAACCAACTTCCCACACGTAGAATCTGGGGTTGGACCCCTTTGAGTGCGATTTTGAACCCACTGCCAGCAAGGAAGCCAAACACATTTCGACGGGACCCCTTTCAACCTGAAGGCCTCATGTCGGCAGCAACTTGCCCTCAAGCACCAATCGCGGGTTCAGAGATACGTCTCTTGAAGCACGTGCGGTCTGTGTGCGGCTGCAGATGCCTATCCCTTTTCGGGCTTGCTCGTGGATTTGGAACATAAAGTTCCCACTCTGTGGCTGCGTCTGCGGTGCCACCTACAGAAACCACGGAGAACACCACAGAGAAAACCACAAAGAACACCACAAAGAAAGGCAAGAGAGACCCACAAAAAGCCAGAACCTCATGGGCAACTGGGACATCGGGAGCCGAATGGGCCGAGGGGTGCAGCTGGAAGCGGCCAAGCAGCTCCGATCGGAGGCTTTCAGAGCGGCCCAGGAGGCGCAGCATCTGAAGCCACTGGGCGCACGGCGCCCGTTGGTCCAATTTGGCCATGGGTAACCCAAATCGCACCCCAAGCGAACATCCCAATCCCCGCTATAGACGAAAATGGGTGATGCACCTACCCCAAAATGGTACCATTGGTGTTGACCCACGGCCATTTTTGTGCGGGGTTTTCACTTTAGGACTTCTCCCGGAGTCTTTTTTAGAGGGTGCTTTTTCACAGTGTGTGTTTTTGGACAGAGGGGTCTCTTTTGCCCATTTCTTTTGAAGCCCAACGGGTTTACCCAATGGGTTTGAGTGGGGTGGCCCCCTTTTTTCGGAGAGGGCTTCCTGTTCTTTGGAGGGAGCTGCTCTTCAAAACCGAATAACAGCAAGCCTTATATCGACTAGACCCTTGTACCGAGCAGAGGTCTTATTTCAACAAGCCGCGGGGAAAATTAGTGCCTAGGTGTTCGACCCACACAATAAGTCGGCTTCTGCCATGGTTATAATGTCCACCAAGTCCCACATATAAAATATTGAAGGCTAAAACCTGCTTGCTAAATGGGCATCCCCACGACACAATTGCGGTAGGGAGTTAAACAAAAATGTAACCAGGGGGCGCATGATGGACACAACATCCTAGGGTTTAGGGCATTTTGTTTTAGAGAGGCCTTGTCGCTCCACTAGCATTAAGCAAAAGCTTGTGGGTATTTGTTTAGTCATTTTTTCCTGTTGGCAGTTGTCCATGATTGTATGGTGTTCGGTGGTGTCATAGTGCGGGCTTTGTTGGTGAAACGACCATCGTGCTCATCCCCTTGTCAGCTTGACTGGCAAGGAGGTAGTTGGAATGTAGAGTCGTGTTTCAGCCAGAACTCATAGCATAGTACCAGAGAATTCACCGGCACCAATTGTGGGGCATCCAGCAGAGGCATTTTACCTCTTGGGGTTGTTCAGAGTTACCTGATTCGATGTTTTGTACCCCAGAGGGATGCTTCGCAGTATGAACACATGCAGACATTTGCGAATCCCGGGAGCCAAGGTCCGAGTCATCCGAAGCTGCGATGGTGCTGAGGGAATGCAAAGATCCTTAACTGAAACCCGTCAGCCGTTTTGCCAATTGGTGCTAGCTTCCTGAGTCTCAAAGGAATGAGGGCCCCCAGTTATTTCCCGGACGCGGGCAATCATGGATTTCTAGCCTGCGATGGCAGCCAGAAACTAGCACTTTGCCATGCGCGGCTTGTTTTCGTGGTCAGTTGTTTGTTTTACGCAAGTCCCATCGCAAGTTTGCCTTTTCGGTGGGCTCACTCTCATCAATACTCTTCTGCAGATTTTCTATGGAATCCCAAAAGCGCCCGGCAAAATCCTCACCAATGCGTACAGCCGCCGGTCCTACGCCCCACCCCACGTGACTTCCAAAAAGAAACAGCTCGAAGCCATTTGTGCTTGCCTTGCAAACTATTGCGCGTTGTGTGTTGTGTATATGAGTTTGTGTATGTAATGTAATGTAACGTATGTTTTGCCTGCCTGGCGGTCGGGCTGGCTGGCTGTTTGTTTGTTGGTGAATCGATATTTCTATTTGTTTGTTTTTGAGGCTTGGGCGTTGTAGTTTTGCTTGGTATATGCTTGTTTTCAAGGTTTCTTTGGCCTCGTTTGAGGCCGCTCTGGAGAGGCACGACGCCGACGAGGAGCGTCAGTCGCAGCTGCTGTCGGAAAACGCGGAGCTGGAAGACACGCTGAAGGTGGCTGCTTGCTCGCAATGTATTTGAGACATGTGCCCTTAGGGTTCGGTGGTGTGGGCCCCGGGCGACAACATTCTTAGTGTTTGTTCCCTCTTTGGGCCGCTTTTCGGCTGTCAAAATGGGGCGTGGACCCTAATGTGGACCCAGGATGAATAAACCCGTCCCACTATTAGGGGGGTGTTTCCTCCAAAAATGCTGAATCCCCACTAAAAGGGGACCCCCCCCTATTAATCAACCAGGGATCTATAATCCGGGGTTAACATTTTTCCAGATCCGCACCCTGTAGTGGGACGCCAATACATCGAGAAGCCACCACATGCCATACACGGACTGATTTTGCACCAGGCAAAGGACAACAGCACTTCCAACAATTAAATACCATTGCAAGAGCTCCACTTCTACAAGGAAGCTCTGTACCCCTCGCATACACTTGCATAAGTTGGTGACCCCTCCCGATTTTGGAAAATACAACTCGTTGAATAGTTTGGGGCACGGACCCCACCCCAGAAGGGCACACACTTGGATGTTCAACCGACCCAGCAAGCTTGCTAGGTTGCCGCATGTTGCCGCCATGGGTTTTTGTCCAACAACCTCTCTTGTCTCATTTTACCGTTGAACATCCAAATAGTTATTGCTGTCACTGTTGGGAGCACCCTATTCATCCCGGTTGATCAATCCGTCAAATGTTCGTTTGGTGGTGTTTTTTTTTGAGGATACCCTTCTTCTTGTGGCTTTTCAGGGATGCAAAAGGAAGACCACAATTGTTTGGGTACCCCTATTTTGACACATACGTACCCATGTCGGGCCCAGGAGACGGCCATCGTCCAGGAGCTTCGAGGCCTTTGCAACACCGAGGCCAAGTGCTACACAGTGGCCATGGCCGACGCCTGGCCAAGCTGAAACCGAGGTTAGCCGATGGACATGTCTGAGTGGGTCCACTTGAGACATGAACACCAAAAAAAGGGTTCCGCGAAGAGCCATGAGTTGTCGGTTCTACCTCAACCTGCAGGAGTAGGAGTGTAATTCGGGGGTTGGGGGACAAATAGGTGCAGATGTTCTCCCTTCTGACGATTTAGATTGATGGTTTGGAGTTGTTGTTTTGCCTGTGACTGTGAGGGGCGATAGGGATATCCTCCTGATTCAAGGCCAGCTGGATTCGGGGCAAGACGAGCTCACTTGGATGAAGGATCCTTGGGCTCTTCTCCACCTTACAGAAGTGGGTGATCCCAGAGGGCAAGCTAGTACTGCAATTCAGTCTAGTGAAGCGACCCCGCGGAATGGGCCAAACGGCAGGCTCGGAAAATGTTGACTTTCCTGGGCCTCCAGGTTTACTGACTGTTTGCCAGGGAGCGAAGTGAGGAGATGGATGATACGGACGTCCCACGCCATGAAGCGCATAAAACAATAAGCCAGTTTGGGAAAGTATTCAAGCTTCAGTTGCCCATTCCAGGGGACAAAGTACCAAGGTCGGGGAGGCTTGAAGTATCTTACGGTTGCTTTGATATTCGAAAGGGTGCAGGAGGATTCTTCATTTGGGTCGGCATGCCAACACAGAGATAGCGGCCTTGCCGGTTTCTGCTATGCCCGGGGTTGAGCTCATTGCCCGCATCAGTATGTACTGAGGCAAACTCCCCTGAAATCTGGCCTGCAAAAGCGCACTCCGGGGATGTTGTTGCCATGTTCTACTTAGATGTTGACACAATATGAGCCAAAGTTGTAAAGATACCTTGTTTGGGCAAAAGCTGGGGGGGTGCAGGTTCCCTGAAACCAGGAAGCCTTCCCTTCGGCTGCTTTGGGCCCGACGCCTTGAGGAGTGTGAGGGTCTACGACGGGAGCTGCACGACTTGACCCGCATGGTCCCACAGCCAGGGCCAGGGGCCGGCGCAGGAGAGGGCTGCGATGTGCCCCCACCTCCCAAGTAAGTTGATTTCATGAGCCTTCCCTTCAAGATCGTTCCAATGGCACAACGGACAAAACAATATGCCTGGGCAAACCACAGAAGATTCCTGATTTCGGTTTTGTGACTTCTCATAACTTGCGCAGTGACAGGTGTTCTGCTGATGGAAATTGCGCCGTTGTAGCGAACTGACCTGCAGATGGGGGAACCATAAGGGGCCCGGAGTGTCACAGGTGACAGAGCCTGCCCCGTTCCAAGCCACATTGGTCACAAGATGCACTGCTCACGGCCTGCGAAACAAAGGAGGGTGGCTGTGCTTGGTAAAAGAAGCAACCCTTCAAACTGTCCTTTGTTTTGAAGTTTGCGACGGAATGAATGCTCTGTCGGGCAGCGCGTAGAATGTTGTCAGCGTCAGCCTCTTTCCGGGCGACCTGGTGTCTCCACCTTGCGATGGTGCCAGGCCCAAGACCAAGCGGAAATGGAACAAACACACAGCCGATGATAAAGAAGGCCTCCCCTCTACGTTGCAAGCCAAGCATACAAGGGACCCATGCTCCTTCATGACAAAATCGTATTTGACTTGATGTTGGATCCCAAGAAGTTGTACGTGAATCACTGCTGGGCTTGTGATGCTGTTCCAACGTCCAAGGGTTATAAGTTCTCAATCAATTTGGACGAACTTGTCAATTTTGGGTTGCTCTGACACGCGCACATACTGAAAGACAACTGTTGGACTGACTTTGCCACATCTTAGTGGAGGGAATCCTACGAAAACCACCTGCCAGGATATGCCCGATCGCCCACCAGTCCCACGCCCTCGCCGGGTCGAAGATCCACGGCGGCAGGTTGAGGCAGTTGAGTATTGATGTCTCGGGCCGCTTTGAGGTCCCCCAAAATGAGATTCCTCCACATGTGATCGTTTTTTTGGTTGTCGCGGGCGGGGTGACATGCATAACCCTTTCCTTTTACATCTCAGGTATTTTATGGGTTTGAATGGCTTTGTCTAAGGTCTACAAGCTGGGATCACTTTTTTATACTCATGTTGCATCTTGAGGTTTAAATATGGACCTGAACCAAACATTCGCTGGTTGGGGGCAAAAGGCGGAGCCAATGCGCCCCAGACTGGTGGCTGGTGACAGCCGAAATCGTCATGGTTTGGGTCCGAACATGTACCTTGAGCGGTTGTAAGCGGGTTTGTTTCTCAATGGGGGGTGGGGGAGTCCAACCCCGCAAAATATGTGGTGTCCTTTTGCTTTCCTTTAGCATTACCCCCTTATTTAAAAAAGGCAGCCTCGAAAACGACAAGCCCACATCTTGCTGGTGTTTGCATATGTTTGTGAATACTTGTTTTTGGTTTCTTTCCCATACCCAGTATTTAGCACCCAGTTTGTGGGGTTCGTCTGACGGGTGTGAAATCGACCCATGGCCCATCTCCGGGGCTGCCAGGCTTGGGTTTGCAAAGGGCTCAGGCACCCACATCGGCTCTGCAGGCAGTGCCCTGGCGGGTGGCAAACATGTTTTCTTGCTCGGCTTTTGATGGTTTCCCTCTTTTTGTTTCCTGCCCCCTCTCCATAGCGCTCCAGAGTTCGCGAGTTTCCTTGCTTTTGGTTGTGGTGTACATTGGGCCAACCTCAGGTGAGTTTCCAAGCAGGGTGTCAGGGGACTTTTTTCGGGAAGCCCCCTACTGAGTCAGCCGGGAGCTTCGCAGGCGTCAGCGCGAGCTGCGCGGACAGGGCTTCGTGGACAGAGCGCCGGGCAAAACGCGGAAAGACGCGGCGCGCTTTTGTTTCAGGGAGTTGGTGGGTTTGGGGATTCAAACGCAGCGTTTGGTCCTTGTGTGTTTGTGTGTGTGTGTGTGTGTGTTTGTTTGCTTGCTTGGTTGCTTGCTTTGTTGTTTGTTTGTTTTGTTTGCTTCTTTGTTTGCGTGTTTGTGTTTTTGTGATTGAGAAACCCATCCACTGTACATTGTTTCTTGTCGCGTCTTTCAAGTTTAAAGGGAGACCCATCTAGTTTGTGTCTTTGCTCCGGAACCTTGAAGGCTTCGGCAGCTTTGCACAACCGCCGGAGACAGAGACGACGGAGACGGTGGCTTGCGCGAGCCTGTTCTGGAGCAGCCTGGCAGGTTGCCCCCGCTTTGCGCCCGACTGCTGGTTTGCCATCAACACGCCCTGGTTAAGAACAGAAATAAGCATGGTTGTAGATTCGGCCTGAAGAAAGCCCCAGTGCAAAGTTCATGGATTTTGCAACATATTTCCCCACTCTGGAGGATTCTTGCAGTGCCAAAGAGAACCTGGCTGTGTGACATGGACGTTGCTGGAATGGGATCGGCAAACCCTCAATGCTGAACAGCCCAGCAAAGGCTTTTGAGACCCTGAGCGCTGAAAGGGCTTATGAGGGACTCTGGCCGGACCGGAAACACAATGCCTCATGTAAAATGTGCCAGCTTTCAGTCCTTTCTCAGCCTAGTCAGGTACTAAGTGGGCTGACCATGCAAGCAAGAGGGGGAGCCGAGAGTGCATTCACTGGTGGGGAGTTGGGTGAAGTGACGTACACAACGGTTTGATACTGCCTCCAAATCACTGCCCTTCCTCGCACGAACATGGCACCAAGCGGTCCCCTCAGGGCCAAACGTGTTTTTCCCGCCACGTTGCAACAGGGAGTACGCATGATGCCGAAGTAGAGGAAGGCGGCTTGCCTCTCTTTGCTGCAATTCGCTACAGTTTTGTGGTTGGAGGTGATTATGTGAACCTTTTCCTCCAAAATTAATTAATTATAGTGTATTTCAGTGAGAGCCCGGATCCAGGCCAGCCCTACAGGAATGCCATGTAAAAACCTGGTCAATATTTTGGCCTTTGGCTTGGCTCGAATACTCAAACGAGGCGCACGAAGGGAGCTTCCCGATGTCAGCTTGGTGGTTTGGATTTGTGGTGGGTATGGGGGGGTTGCCCATCTTCACTCTACAAGATGACTAAGATTGCAACACAATCCGGAAATATGATTTTCAGTGTCCCCGAGTAGTATAAAGTATGTTTGTTGTGTGGCGGCAGGGTTGTCTTGCGAATTGCAAAAGCGTAGGGCGTCCACGTTCCAAACCGAGGCGCCAGAGCAGCCTGGGGGACGCCCACACCGCCGTGGCGCTGCGGCGGTTGTGGGGGCATCGCCCGGCCTACTGGGTGCCCATGGCACGCAGGCAGGGCCGGATAGGCGGAGAGGTGAGCGATGGCCACATGGCTATGGGGACCGCAGATTTGAGTCCATGTTTTTCCTTGGTTTCCATCTGGGCTTCTGTTTTTGACAGCCACATGTCCAAACTGGGCATTGGCCCCCTTGGAAGCCTGAAAGGCAAACCATGTGCAGGTTGGAGTCCCTGGGTTTTTGTGGTGCCAGGCCAGGAACCAGCACACAAGGCTCGCAGAACAGATTGCCTCTACCCAAACCTGTTGCCCCATGAGGAGCACTTTTGTTTATTCGGCAGTTCCAACGAATATAACACAAAAAGTACAGTTGTTTCTATTTAGCATAGGTACACTGTAGACAAACATATGTTAAGAGAGAGGAATGGTCCCGTGTTCAACAGTTATAGTTCCAAATAGGTTCCGCACAATTTTGGCATCATAACCAAGTCCCAAGATTCAAGACCCTTACAGTTAATGTTCTTGGAATTGAGAGGGAGGGAGTCACGCTGTCAAAACGCGTAGTTCCAAACAGTTCCTTGTTCAAAACAATCAGTGCCTACACAAATGATCCCATGTTTGTGCGCTGGGATCCACAAGGGGTTGGGCTGGCCGGGGAGAAACACAAAAAACCAGCATGGAGTCAATCATTCAACATGCGACGTGCAAAGGGTGTACTTCATGTGCAGGATGTTCATCAAAGCGATGTTCATGAGCGCTTCAAACTATAGCATAGTTGTTTCCATGACTGGTTCGCAATTTCCCTCAATTGTTTGATTGCGGGAAGTCAGGGTTCTGGGCCACTTTCCGTGATACTTGTACCAAAAGAATCCCCTTGAAAGTAATAGGGTAAGGATAGGAACCCCACTTTGGAATCGAAGAACGAATTTTCCAAGGTTCAAAGAAGTAGACAAGCAGCCTTCGCAAGGGGGGGTAGTCTTCCAAAACCCTCCTATTCACTTCCATGATTATTGCAAATAGGGCACTTTTCTACAAGGCAGCCGTTTGCATTCCTTTGGGCCTTTCCCACGTCCAGCCCTGCGTGGCCGGCAGGGCTGGCTGTGGCTGCATCGATGTGGCGGCCAAGGAGCGCTTCATGGATATCCAGCTGATTTTTTTTCCGTTTGGCTAACATCCTTTAGGCCATTCAAACTTGGACCCCTAAATGGTTTCTGTTCATTCCTTGTTCTCTCATGGGTCCCTTATCCCCCTCCAAAAGTGACAGGGAAAATCCAGCGAGGACCCCGTGAAGCCATTTCAAGCGATTTGTTTTACCCCATCGGAACAGTTAGGATCAAGCAACACCAAATTAGCCACTTGGGGCGTGAGATGATCAAGATGATCAAGCGCCTATGACAATGTCCTCCGACATATCTTATAGTTGCGATTCAGCTCTGTTGGTGTGAGTTTACAGTAATTATTGTAAACGCTTCGCGCTGCCCGCCTCGGCCCAGCCTAGTTTGAGGGCAGGGTCAGGAACACCGAAATCCAGTGTACACGTAAGACACGCCAGCAGGCGGGCTGAGGGACTGGGCCTGAGGCTAGTCTCATGCTGGCATACTTTGAGACCAGTCTCAGACTGCGCCGAAGGGGCTGGGCCTGCTGGATGACTTGGGCTGAGCTGCTTGGGCAGCCGGACTGGGGGGCTGGGGCACGTCAGACAGGCTTAGTAGCTGGCGTAGCTTGAGACCAGTCTCAGACACGTGAGACTGATCGTTGGCCTGAGGCCAGTCTCAGACACGTTAGACAAACCTGACCTTGGCACGCTGGGCTGGGCTTGCTGGTGGGCTGGAAGCTGGGGGCCGGCCTAGTGGCTGGCATGCCCTGAGATGCGCCGGGGCCTGGGCTGGGCAGGCTGGGCTGAGGTGTGTTGCTGGTCGGGGCCTGGGCTGGGCAGGCTGGGCTGAGGTGGGTTGCTGGTTGGGCTGGGCCTGAAGCTAGTCTCAGCCACGAGGGTTGCTGGCTGCCGGGCAGCGCTGCTGGCGTGCTTGGGTGGGCAGACACGTAAGACACGCCAGCAGGTGGGCTGAGGGACTGGGCCTGAGGCCAGTCTCAGGCTGGCATACTTTGAGACCAGTCTCAGACTGCGCCGTTGGGGCCAGACGCGCAGGAGGTCAAGGCCTGGCCAGCCTGGGCTGAGCTGCTTGGGCAGCCGGACTGAGGGGCTGGGGTGCGTCAGACAGGCTTAGTAGCTGGCATAGCTTGTCTCACGTGTCGTTGGCCTGAGCACGGTAGACAAACCTGACCTTGGCACGCTGGGTGAGCCTGCTGGTGGGCTGGGGGTGGCATGCCCTGAGATGCGCCGGGGCCTCTGCTGGGCAGGCTGGGCTGGGCTTGCTGGGCCAGGCCTGTTTCAGACAAGCTTGGGCCTGAGGCTGGGTGGGCTGACAGGCCTGACCAGCAGGCGGGTTGCTGGTTGGGCTGGGCCTGAGCCTAGTCTCAGACACGTCAGACAGGCCTGGTTCGCAGATGCTTTTCAGGACAAAAAAGTCGACAAAAATGGACCCATGGAGCTGGACGCCGACGAACCCCGAAAATTTCAAGGCCCGCCGGACAGGTTTCGGCCAGCCGACATGGCGGGGGGGGGGGTTGGAAAAGCGAAGATTCTCTTTTGGAGAAGAGATCTGAGCGCCCTTGGCCCCTTTGGGGCCGAGGCGAATTTACATTCCAATGTTCGCAAAACAGGGACCAGAATCCAGCATGTACCACGGTTCTCGTTTGCCCCCCCCCCCCCCAGAAAGGTTCCCGGAACCCTTGCAAGACGCTGACGCTGGCTTCGCTGCAGGACGACGAGGGCCTTGCTGCCAAGGAGGTGGCGGCCACAGCCATCGCGGCGTGGTGCGCGGTGGCCTGGGAGGAGTCCTCGGGGACCTCTCCAGGGAGATTCGAAAATGCTGGCGACTGGTAGCGGAACCAGGTTGCAATCATGGTTTTAGGACAATTCGGTTGTTGCAGAAACCCCGGTAGTTGTAGCCTACTTTCCCACCCAAAAACATGGGAACCCACACGGACCCATTTTAGCAAAATTGTCTTTCAGGACTGGGTTCCAGTGGGAGGGGCGTACGCTGGTTGAAGTAGTGGCGTTGGAAAAGGGTACGCACCTGGGGGCGTTGAGCTCGATGATCATGAGCCTCCAAGGGGGCCATCTTTAGATAAGCCCAGGATAGGCCCCCAACAAGACTTTAGTAGCTGAGTAATGGGTGATGGGTGTATTTGTCGACTGGTGTTATCCCAGTAGAAACACGGCTGGAACATTTGCCCAGACAAGGCGCCACAGACTTTATTGCATTACCCCTTGAGGAAAATAGTTGAAGTGTGTGCCCTTTGCATACTGTCCGAGCCACTACATTTTTTTTAATAAAATGTTTTCAGGTGTTGTCACATTTGGTCGTCCAACCAGAGACCTTACAGCACAAGTGAGACACAGGGCGCGATGTGAGAAGCTGCGGCTGGCCAAACTCATTGGAAGCCGCGCTTCCAGTTTCTCTTTTCCTTCCTACAACTCCACTGTTTAAACGGTTGGATTGTGAAGCTGGTTGAAGACTACAGGATGTACTGTAGAAGAGGGTAGACTTTTACTTCCTGGATTGGGAGGAGACCGTTTGAGGTTCTGTCGTGCAGGATGGCAGAACTTGCTCCACGGGCCGGGCGGTTGGCGCAGAGGCGCCAGATTTGGTCAGGGGGCGGACACGTTGCCTGGTAGGGCTGTGCGTTTGAGGCTTTCAGCAGAACCGAATCACGAAACCAACAACTTGCAGATCAAGATGCGCAATCTGAACATATGCGGCGTAATGCCCCCGGTCAAGAACCCACAGGCGAGCACAGGTGAGAGGCCTATTGCGTTCGGCACAGTTCCCCCCCCTGCTCAGAGACAGCTGGCGCACATAATTTTCCCGCTGAATGGAAGTGGTCCAGCCAGAAAGCGCCTGGTCAGAGTTTCCTCCAATTTTCGTTCCAGCTGGTTCCCGATCAAAAATGAACATTCTCGACTTGGCATACCAGTGTGGAACTAGGAAAAGGCAAGTCATGCGACGCTGGTAATGATGCTGGTAGCCTGAACCCGGCAAAATGTCACTCAAGCTTGTGCTGGCGAAACCTCCTCTACACGTGCCCTATGTTTATGGAGGAAATAGCTTTTATCCATGCTGAACTGGAAACCAATGTGACACAAACAATGGAATAGGGCGCAGGGATTGGGTTATGTCCAAGCAAATATTTGCATGGGCAACCTCCATACAACGTATAGTGTATGATGGATGCGGGGCAGTTACAAAGGTATAAATGTATAGATAGATCCATTTAAATTTGTCAAAAGGGCATCGCTCCACTTTGGCCACGCTAATGTTGTACGCACATCTCAGTTTGTGCGAGGCAAAGGCGCAGGGCAGCGTGCTGCGGCCGATTTTCATGGCGGGCCGATCGATGTGAGCGTTTTCCCCGCTACTGGGATGTTCAAGCCACTTAGTAGATATTATATGGCTATTACAAGTGGAGCACGCCTCCCACAAACAACCAACGTATTGCTTGGTTTCCATGTTGTCTCTCACAAGCCCGTGGAGGAGGGGTTTGCGGTTTGAGGACATCCCCACATAACCCTGGTGGCTGAGTGAAAGACCAAAGAACGGTAGTTCAAAGGCCGAATGTACGCCGGTTGAACTGCAATGTCTAATCTACTCTGTTGTAGTTAGATGGATATGTTAAGCTGTTGCCGGCTAAAGAAGCTGTTACTGGGGCACTCTCTCCAACAATCATTGCCGGCCGATTTTCCATGTTGCGGCTGAAGTAAAGATACAAGTACCCTCCCACCAACAAACATGGCTTGGTGCACAGTTGCCCTGTTCAAAGCACTGTACATGACATTCGCAGGAAGCTGAAAGCGAAGCATGTTATAAAACACATGATGAGTTAATGGGCCTTGTCCTAGCCGTGCAACAACCGTTCAGTTTTGAATCAAGAGAAGAACGGTTAGCGGTTTTGCCGTGGGACTCCAAGATGGTGATTGAGCCATTGGACATCAAGTGTCAGAATGCTCACGTTCCGAACGCCTGAGCCACGGCACCTCGACCGCTCGCACAGCGATGTTCTCCACCAGCCGGCATAACTTGGGATCTCCAGTCCACCGGTCCTTTGCAGTGCTTCGTTGACGGACGCCCTAAAGGTTGTTTTCTTTTTTGCGAAAGCGGGGATCTCGGGATCCCTGGGACCTGATTGGCCAGGTGCACGACCGGGCATCCCACGCGGAGCGGGGTGCACTGCTGCAAGTGCTCATGCTGGCGAGGAAAAGCTCGCCTGGGAAAAGTGGAAGGAAAAGGTCGCTCTGGTGCTTTGGTTCCTTCCTTTGGTCCTTTGCTCCCATGGTCCTGTGGCCACTTGGCTGCTCATTTCTTGAATCCAACTCGGCTGGAACGGATTTTTGGGCTAAAGGGTCCAAACCACCTTTATCAATGAGGTTTCTGGCGGCGGACGGGGGAGCAGCGTCCAATCTTGTTCAGTCCCCACGCCCCAAGTTGCCACAATAGCAATGGTTGCCTCAAAGACCTCTAGCAGGCTGGAAGGGCATCAGGCAAACCAAAGTAGTATTGGCCAAATTGGTGTGTGTGTGTGTGGGCGCGTTGCTTGAAACAACCCTTTACAGCTTGAATAGGGAAACCAAAAGGACAGCCGTTATTTGTGGGGGTCCCCCATAGCCCCCTATTTTGACATTCACCCTATCCCTAATTGTTTGGTGGTTTTGACGGCCCCCGGGTCGTTCTTTCTACGCCCTGGCCTCGACCCAGGCTCACCGCGCGGCTTTGCAGCTGGAGGTGCAGCAGTCAACCTCTGCCCTGGAGGAGCGGGGGGCGACATGTCCGCTTCCGCGTGTTGACCGAAATGAGCAAAGTGTTTTTTTCCCGAAAGCATGGCGAAGGGTTCTTCCGCTGGGTTCACTTGAGTTGTTCTCATGAGAGTCATTACAAGGTGTCATTGCAAGGAATCATCATCATGAAAGTCATTGCAAGGAGTCATTGCAAGGAGTCATTGCAAGGAGTCATTGCAAGGAGTCATTGCAAGGAGTCATTGCAAGGAGTCATGGCAAGGAGTTGGCAAGGAGTCATTGCAAGGAGTCATTGCAAGGAGTCATTGCAAGGAGTCATTGCAAGGAGTCATTGCAAGGAGTCATTGCAAGGAGTCATTGCAAGGAGTCATTGCAAGGAGTCATTGCAAGGAGTCATGAGAGTCATTGCGAGCTGCGCATGGAGTCAAGTGCAAGTTGCAAGTGCAAGGAGTCAAGTGCAAGTTGCAAGTGCAAGGAGTCAGGTGCAAGTTGCAAGTGCATGGAGTCAAGTGCAAGTTGCAAGTGCAAGGAGTCGAGTGCAAGTTGCAAGTGCAAGGAGTCAAGTGCAATTGACTTGCGAGGAGTTAAAATCTCTTCTTAGGGCGGCGGGGTAGTGCCGACGACACTACACGAAAATCGACCCTCTGCGGGGATCGGCGTGGTCGAGGTGCAAAAACCCATGGTTTTTTGCGATTTCTAAATCCCGCGCGACCCTCTGCGGGGATCGGCGTGGTCGAGGTGCAAAAACCCATGGTTTTTTGCGATTTCTTGCTCGCGCGACCCTCTGCGGGGATCGGCGTGGTCGAGGTGCAAAAACCCATGGTTTTTTGCGATTTCCAACATGCCCGCGCGACCCTCTGCGGGGATCGGCGTGGTCGAGGTGCAAAAACCCATGGTTTTTTGCGATTTCCAACATGCCCGCGCGACCCTCTGCGGGGATCGGCGTGGTCGAGGTGCAAAAACCCATGGTTTTTTGCGATTTCTGCGGTGCGCGCAACCCTCTGCGGGGATCGGCGTGGTCGAGGTGCAAAAACCCATGGTTTTTTGCGATTTCTGCGGTGCCCGCGCGACCCTCTGCGGGGATCGGCGTGGTCGAGGTGCAAAAACCCATGGTTTTTTGCGATTTCCAACATGCCCGCGCGACCCTCTGCGGGGATCGGCGTGGTCGAGGTGCAAAAACCCATGGTTTTTTGCGATTTCCAACATGACCCTCTGCGGGGATCGGCGTGGTCGAGGTGCAAAAACCCATGGTTTTTTGCGATTTCTGCGGTGCCCGCGCAACCCTCTGCGGGGATCGGCGTGGTCGAGGTGCAAAAACTCGAGGTTTTTTGCGATTTCTGCGGTGCTCGCGCAACCCTCTGCGGGAATCGGCGTGGTCGAGGTGCAAAAACTCGAGGTTTTTTGCGACTTTTGTTGTTCGAACTGGTCCTCGGGAGTTGTCTCGTGGTTCGCGCGCCTGCTCCCGGAACCGGCGGGTCGCGGGTTCGATTCCTCCCTGGTCCGCGGGCGGGCGTCGCAAGATGCAACTTGCATTTTAAAGCAACTTGCGCAGAGCAACTTGCGCAGAGCAAGTTGCACAGAGCAACTTGCGCAGACCAACTTGCACCGACCAGTTTGCGCAGAGCGCCTTGCCTAGAGCAACTTGCGCAGAGCAACTTACGCAGAGCAACTTGCACAGAGCAACTTGCACAGAGCAGCTTGCACAGAGCAACTTGCAGGGAGCGCAATTTGCACAGAGCAACTTGCAGGGAGCCACTTGCAGGGACCAACTTGCCGGAGCAACTTGCGCGGAGCAACTTGCGCAGAGCAACTTGCACAGTGCAACTTGCGTAGAGCAACTTGCGCAGACCAACTTGCACCGACCAGTTTGCGCAGAGCACCTTGCCTGGTGCTGTCTCGCGCTTGCTTCACAAATGCTTCGTGTAGGGATGCAGCGTTGGGCCGACCTCGCTTGCGATGTTCTGCTTTCGGGCCAACCGTGGTCTAGTTTTTCTCCTGAGGGCACCCTTTTCAGCTTGGTTGAAGTTTCAATGGAGGCACAATACTTGTGGCCCCCTATTCATTTTCCCTTTAGTTTCTCACACAGATCGTACAAGAGGAGTCCCGCTGCACATGGGAAGCACCCAGTAGAGGCAAAAGGAACTCGCCCGATATAAAGGGCAGTGGAGACCTGTCAAGGGGTGTTCCTGATCTCGGCACATTCGCGGATCCTTGAACGACACATGAGAAGGCAGTTGACAATCAACCCGTTTCAGTTCTGTGGATCTTCAGCTGTGTTTGAAAAAGGGTAGCAGTAGGATAGTGAGAGGTATTGACTGTCTTACAAGGGCCTGCTTGCCTGCATGCGTGCTATTCTGGAATGTTTCCCAGATTGATGGAACAACTTCGAGTGGCTAAAACAGTTGCAACATCTAGCAGCAGCTGGCGGCTGCCAATGCCGGATGCACAGCCGATTAGGTTGCAGTCATCAAGCGTACACATCTGACAAAACGCCGTGTTGGGTGAGCATCATCCGGCTGCAATCTGGCCAGGAGCATATCTAGCCTAAGGTATCCCCCAATGATGATAATGCGTTTAGTCACTCTTCTAAGAACTCTTTTTAAGCAGGTTCGGACACCTAACTATGCGCACCACCACCACTGAATGGGTTGCCGATAGGTTTGCCAGGGCCATCTACCTGACACAGCGCTCGCCTGAGCCACGCAGGCAATGCAGCAGGAAGCAATGCGAGCTGCTCAGGAGTATGACTTTCCCTTTTCCACTCGGATGGTTGATTCATTGTCCCTTTCACCACGCTTTTAATGCTGCAGTGTATGGCTCAGGGTCGCTCGGGAGCAATACATGTTTATTGACGTTTCATCCAGTCAAAGCTTCAAATAGGTTACGGCTCGCGGCCCGCGTAGCTCCAGAAATCGGCTTTGCTTTGGAGCGCTCCTTGGGTCCGCTGTTTCCAGCTTTCGGCATGTCAGGCATGCCAAAGGGGTCCTTCTATTCCTATGTCTTGGTGACTCGATTGGCAAATGTTAAGATGCTTCAAAGGGACATAGAATACAAGAACTTATGAAAAGGACGCTTCCTCGGGAGTTCCTCAGCTTGCATCTGGGCAGGAGAATGCTTTTGGGTTCCCTTCTCACATTGGTGTTTTCGGTGAAAGGGAAACCTTTCCGCTGCGATTTTGTGCATCATCCTAAAATGTCCTTGCTGGTGCATAACGCTCACGTCGGATTACTAATATGCCATCTCCCCCTCCCCCCAGAAAATCAAACCTTAGATTAAACAGGTTCCTTGGAGAAGGTGGTTTGCTGGAGACAGCACTCGGAGTTGTAGGTGGCCGCTCTGCGGGATTGAGAACGCATCCCAACACAGTGGACCGGAATTGTCATCAAGTGATTTGTTGTGGGAGCGAATGGTTCTGCCGGATCGCTGTACTGATTAGGGGTGGTCCGGAGGCCCGCGTCAGAGTTTAGAATTCTTTGGCATTGGATTCGGAACCTCCACATTTTGAAGAACACCTGAAAGAGCATGCAGCAGCGGGTCTTGGAGGCGGCTCATGGGCGATTCGCGTCTCAAGGCTCTGGAAGCAGCGCGCGGAGGTGCTGCTAGGCCCATGGCCCCAGCGGAGAGCGAGAGGCTCGCAGCTCGGGGCTTGGGTTTTGCATGGCGGACTGGCGAGAAGTCGCCAAGCGGAAGGAAGACCTCCAGTGCATGGCTGGGCCCTGCGCTTTGATAGTCACACAAATGTCCCCCTTTCGTATGCCAGACAGGCTTCTCTCCAACCATACTTTGGTGCGACCTTTGGCCCCTCAAACCCAGGATGAATCAATAGGATGGTTTTAGAAGACGGTACCGGAAAGGCTCGCCCAATATTTCCCCACATTGATCTATTTGGGGTGCACATCCTTTTTGTTTGGAACATGATTGGTTCCCACGACTTATTTGGCAAGCAACAAGAAGAAGACGAGCCTGCCGGCTCGTTTTTGTTGGTCTCGTTTCACAAGTTGTTGCGTTCCCCCTGAAGTTTGAAGCAGTGTTGACCCTGAAAAGGGCGCTACCGCGATTGGCCATTCTAGCACGTCATGTGAAGGACCCGCAGACAGGCACAAGAGATTCCTATTCTCGGCGTACTTGTTCTTGCAAACCACACGCTCTGCGAGCAAGTCATTTTGAAATTCTCCGGGCGTTGGACCGCAAACAAGTCCTTTGCAAGACACGGTGTGTTTTCTCCCGACTTTAGATGTTTAGGGTTCTCATCCATGGTCAGCACCCGCGAGCAAATCGATTTCTCGAAGCATGAGCTCTGGAAGGAGCACGTTTGCTTTGCTACGTACTCTGCAGTTTAAGCCGCGATTGTAGTGCCAAGCGCTGGGGCACTCCTTTCTTGCGGGAGAACCTTTGCGGTACCGATTGCTTCAAGATTTACATGCAATAATGTACACTGCCTGTATGGATCTTTATTTGGTATGCATGGATAAGTGGTTGGCACTCATCAATCATCCATAGAAGGGAAGTGCTGAAAGCCCCCCCCCCCAAATAAGGGCTGTCTGAAGTTTAGTATTGGCTTAATACAAAATCATTAATTATATAGAAGTGGATTTAATACTAAGTTTTTTTCCCGAATGAAAAGCCACCCCTCTTCCCCATAAAAGAGGCATGCATGGTGGATCATGGTAGTTCCACCTTTGTAGTTTTGGCAATTGTGTTTATGCGCACGCATCCATGCCTAAGTTCAGCTGGAAAACAACAGACTTGACAGTTGGCACTGGGGTCAGGGTTGCCTGCTTGCTCTGGCGGGTTGCTTTGCTTTGGCTCAGTCCCTTTGGCTTGATGCATGCCAATAGCAATATGAACCATGAGAAATCAAATCCCGGCGCAAAACTAAAACCCCTTTGGGGACCCCGCACCCCGCCATCTTGACCCGCCTTTGATATTTTCACTGTTTGGGGCCCTGCCGGGACGCCCGCTGACCGCTCCATACGTCACCGAGGCCGGCGCAAGGCGGTGATGTCGGTGGCGGCTCGCTGGCAAGGCGCCGATGCGGTCCCTTGGCGCAGCAAGGGCTTGGGGCGCCAGTGTAACCCCCCGGACCTCCAGTAGTGCCCCGGTTCCCCTTGATTCGCATCATTCCCTACAGGTTGTATAAAGGGTGCCCCAATGTTGAGCCACTTGTTCAATAGGTTCCACCCTCTAATTTCCTCTTTGTTTAGCGCTGGAAATGGAATCGGCCGCAAACAGGGATTCCATTTTTGATTACCAACGTCACCGGGCAACTGGGTTGACGCAGAATTGATTAACATGTTGCTGACATGGACCATTTTGAAGGGAAACCTTCACTTCAAAATCCTCTAGTAATTCATGCAAGATTATCAACAATCTGGGGAGTCTCTTCTTGCGAGCCTCTATTGCCCTTCTAAAGAGGCACCTGCCTGAACGCACCTGAGCACTTCCTTCGAGATCTGACACATGCCTGGCGAACCCACCTGAGGGTGAACGCAAGCCGATGAGCTTCACTTACTTGGAGCTCGGTTTCCCAGGCGTTGACATGTGCAACGTGTTTGCAGGCACACGGTGTTTGATGTGGTAGGTTTTGGCCTCACCCGTTGATTCCGCAAGGTTCATGCTATAGGGTCGTTTTAAGCCAGGTCCCAACTATGACCTTCGAAAAGCACTTCACGCATATTGCCACTGCAATCCGCATCCTCAGGCCCCCCAACACGAGAGCTGGGACATCAGTTCAAAAAGTTCTAGCATGTTCAGCGGAATATGGGAACACCCTCAAAGTCCCATGGAAGTGATCCTCACCAAGCGAATCCCTTTTCCGGGTAACATGCATACGCATTTCTTAGAACCACTGCCGGGCAAGAGAAAAGGCTTCCTTTGGCAAAGCGGGCGGCTTCCATGCCTCAAGGCGCCTGCGCACTGCAGTTGCCTTCATCCCAAAGACCAAACAACTCCCAACACGTATTCCCAACATACATTCCCCCATCCGGCAATTTCATGATCCTTCCAGGGGGCGCTGCGGAAGGATGAGTCTGAGTAAGTTTCATTCACTATGGGTCCAAATGATAACTCGTGAAAGTGTATTCCTTGACGCGCTTATTGCCCCTGAAAGCCCAGCCTCAGGAAAATTCTATGACACCTTTCTTGGAGGTATCCCCAGACAGCCAAGGCCTGGGACTGGCTCATGGAGCAGGGCACCGGGCCAGGGCCTCTGAGTCCCCAGGTGGGTTGGGAATGCAAATGGACGGTTCTCTTGGGTTTCCCCTTAAAATCAACCTCAAAACAGGGTACGCATATCCTGCGATCCGCGCTCGCATGTTACAATGTGTCGTTCGATTGGTAAATGTTCATGTTTCTCATTACGTTAATATTCGGCAACCGGGGTCAGAGAGACCCGTATTTGAAATGTCATATTGACTTGCAGTGCTTTAAAGCGATCACGGATGATCACTGGCATCCCCGCAAGCCAGCTTCAAGACTCTTTTCAGTTGTTCATGTGCCCCATTGGGAGGGTAAACCGATTCGACAGTACTTGTCGATGGCAAGCTTTCCTTGTTTGATGGTGTGTAATTGTTATTTTGCTATTTTATTCAATGCATAATTCTACATGCTTAAACAGCCTGTGCATTTTACGGATGATGCCATTCCTATGAACCACTACTAGATCCATAGCAATTGGTTGGTCTGGAGTGGGTGCGGGTGCTTCTTGTGCCTTACATGGCTATACGACTGCATAACTTGCGGGGGTCGTGGCTGACCCCTTTTGTGCATTCGGATTCCGGAGGAACGCTATCCCAGAAGGTTGTTGAAGGGAATAGGACCTTAGTGTTTTATGAATCGATCCTTTCACTAGTCAGGAAAACGAAATGGAACCCTCGGGTAGGTCGGTGGCGAGTAGCTGGCTTAGGGCGGCCTTTGGAATGCTACAGCAGGATGTCTCAAAGTTGGGCTGATCAGTGTGCACCGAGTTGCTAAAACCTTTGAGGCCCAGCATTCCAGCCGGGCTCTGGAAAAAGGCAGCAACGTGCCCCATTGCCCACAAAAACAAAGCTCTGAGAGTAAGGGGTCCGGTAGTGGGGGGGTATTGCTGAGAGCGGTTGGAGAGGGAGAAAGAAAAGAGAGAGAGAGAGAGAGAGATGGATTTGGCTTGGTTGGGCCTGAACTTATCTAGCCTTTAATTCTTGCACTTGTGATATACAACGTGTACAGATCTGGCTGCGGGTCAAAAATAGGTACCCGAAACGGAACCCTGGTGAATGGACATATGAGCTAAAACTGGCCGTCCCGTGCCAGGCCTCAGGAGCTGCAGGAACTGTCCGGGCCCGAGTCGCTGAGGGTTGCGAGGGTCCGGTGAACGGGTCGCTGAAAGAAACATGTGGATGGGGCCACTCAAGCAAATGCCTTCACCTCAGTTCATTTAGGGGATCCCCTTGTAAAGCAGGTGGCGGTTGGATGCATTTGTTGAGGAACCCTGTAAAAGTGGCTACATGTTTGAGGGGTTCTCAGAATGTCCAATGAAGACGGCAGTTTCGAGGATGCATTTTTTCTTGGAGGGTGCCAGTTAAAAAGTTTGTGGTCTGCCGTCAAAGCAAAGCAAAGAACATTCAATTTGAATTCCACTCGCGGAATTCCATTCAACTGTGGCGAAAGAGACGCCTTGTGATCTTTCCTTTGGTTTATGAGGTGCCTGAGAACAATACATTCTCCACTTCTTGGCCCACATAGACCGAAGCAGCTCAGCTGCTTATGTCTTTACAATCTGGCTCCATCGGATCATTTGTTTGTAGAACCAACAATCAGCGGGTTTGCTGCTAATGTTTTCGTGAGCGTGTGGTTGAGGAGCAGCACATCGCTTGTTCAGACGTTTTGCTCAGACGGCCCTGCCCTTGCTTGCCCTTGCCCTTGCCTTGTTTGCTGTCTCCTCAAAATGCATAAACATGGGATGAGTTGATGAAGCATGTGGACTTGCGCGGGCGAAGGTCAGTGACTCAGGCGATTCGTTCCAACAACGCTTCTTGAGGCATGCAGATTGTTAGGAGACACGAGTGACTGACCATTGGACGTCCGAGTCTGTTTTCACTGGATGCTCTATGTGGTTGCCCCGAAGCTAGCGCCAGATGGATCAAGCTGTTGGATTTCCGATAACGGTGTCCAACCCTCACAGGTCCAAAGCCGACTTTTTCGGCAAGGCATTTGGATTTTCCCAACTCATTGATTTTAAGGTTTGCCATCCACAAGGGTCTGGATTTCCACGGGATTTCCTCCCTCAGGGAAGCCACATCCCTTCGTTTCAGAACATCAGCTACAGGGAGCACCCACAGCAAGGACGCCTAATGGTTTTGTTTTTTTCAGGTCCCCCTCTAAAAACCTCTTGGGGCCCCAACAAAGAGGACCCCTCAAACTTCGGGTTTTCCCGCGGTTTTCCACAAGACCAAGCCGCACACGGCGCCCAGAACGTGAGGCCGGAGGGCGCAGAGCTTCGGCTCCAGAACCGCGAGCTCTGCCTGTCCCTGCGCCAGTTTAAGCAGGAGCCAAATCGAGCTCCGGGCCGATTTGGGGCGGACCGGACAGATCCAGAAGCGACGCCCTTTGGTTTTGGTAGCCGCGCTCAAAGGAAGGCTAGGGTGAGTGAACCACTGGGATTGCTCCTCTGCAGATTTGCATGGAACTGGACAACTGGGAGTCCCTCAAAGCCGATTCCTCTGAAAACGATTGTTTGTTGAGATTCATATCAATGTGCAGGAAGCAAAGGCCACTTTTACAGGGCAAATATGATTTGTTTACAGTGATCAATCAAGAAGTCATGGGGATGGGAATCCTATGTTGGCATCACAGAATGTGCACCCCCTTTGGGAAATGAAGGGGTCGGCGTTTGGCAACATCTTGCACCCAAATTGACATGGAACCCAAGAAGGGCGTTTGCACAAAAGGTTCCCAGGATAGCTCGGTTCTTGAGGTTTATGGTGTGAATTCCCTTATTTGCAGATGTCCCTAGGTTCAAACCAGGCCCCTCCCAGGTTCTGTGTTGGCCGTGAGGACTGCGAGCTTTTGGAGTCCGAGAATCTGAGCCTCAAGGAGGCGCCCGAACCCGAACCGACGGCGTGGGTTCTAGCGAGCTTTGGGGGGTACAGTAAAACGGGCTCACCATGTGGGTCCTTACGTGTGCAACTACGAACCATGGGTGTCTTCACGTTTCTTGAATCCGGACTTGACAGAAATGCTGCAAGTGAAGTCTTTAGCGACGAATGGTCACGATGTGCGTTTTGGGTGAAAGCCACATCGCCGGCGAGGCGCTGGGGTGCATGGAGGATGACCTGCACAGGGCGCTGCCGGCATGTTTTGGGCATGTTGCACCTTATGATGCTGGTAGTCCGTGATCTCAAGGTTTGCAAATTGGGAAAGTCGCTATCAACTGTGGAAGGATTTTAGAAAGCTACTTCACTGTAACCATGCATGGCCTGTGGAATGTTGACCTTGGCTCATTTACACATCTTGAGTGTCTTTCCATGTCTTGCTTATTTTCATGGCCACCCATCCTGGCTCTAGACTGGAAGCAACATGAACGCAGCCCAAGCAAGCTATCGAACGTCTAGCTACTGCCCTTCAAGACCATGTTTCTTGCGACAACGGCCAAGAATGTGCGTACAGCGCAAAGCAACCTCCGTGACACATGCAGGCAGCAACACAATTGCCGTCAGCAAAGCTTCAAGAGAAGGGCTTCCATACAAAGTAGATGCACAAATTTGCATCTCCTAGCAATGTCTTGCATGCGCTCACGTTTGTGTTTGCATACAAATATGTATGCACTTGTGCATATACGGGGCCCGCAGTTGATGGTATGAAGCGCCGGCTGTCTGGCGATGACTTGCTTTCGCAGAAGCGGCTTTGCATGCTGACTGCGTTGCAGCGCTTAGGCAAGTGGGCTCGGGGGGGGTTTCTGAACATGGGTCGCTGCATTTGCGTGGTGTTGGACACTTTGCAAAGCGCAGCTGTGATCCATGTCGCTTGACGCCCCCTTTGTTGCAGCGCTTCTCAGTTCAGGGCTTCGTTGGAGTTTCTTGGCAGCTCCCACTGGGCACCTAAGACAATGCAAGACGCGGTGTGGCCCGTCATCGCTAGTTTTATCGGAGGGTATTGATTTATTCTTACATCCGGTGTCTATATTCGGCAGGTTGTACAAGGGAATAATTGGCAGAACCATGGGTTGCAGTGTCGAAGCCAATGATGCACAAAGGTTACAATCTGGAGCCAAGAGATTGTGTCGCTCGATGCTCTTCTAAATTTTGTTCTTTGCATGGTTTGCCTTCCAAGCACCATGCGCTGTCCAACGAGGTCTTTCAAATGCGCTTGGCTGGATGCGCGCCAGTGATGCGTACGCTTGCAAGTTTGAACTTCGTTCTGGCGCAGACCTCCGGTGGTGTCCATTTCCTCCTTTTAGGGGGGAGGGCATCAGCCAAGAATCGGGTTGCCTGTTTTTCCCGTGGAAATCAACTTCCATCTGGGTGGAGTTGGCGTTAACCTTCGCCCACACGGCCAGGCAGGGAGCTTGCTGAGCGCTGCATGTGATGAAAAAACAAGCGCTCAGCAGCCTGATTGATGTTTGTTGCGGTCATTGGCCGGTCATAGGATTTCCCCTTCAGCAGCTGCACTTTACTGGTGGCCACTGATTTCGCCACTGTGGGAGGTCCAACAGAAGCCGAAATAGGAACCCCGTGTAGCTCCAGCCCGCCCACTTGGATGGCCAACCTGCTTAATTAATCAAGTGTGTTTTAACATGATCTGCCGGGACCCCGCCTGTATTGGTTGGGTACATGTCCATCATCAACTGCCAGTGGTCCAAAGCATCATGCCGAAGAGTGTCGAACAAACAGCCCCTTGCTCAAAGCCCTCAATTTTCGGGTTTGCGTCATGGCGACCCTTTGGACTTGTGCATCATGAAGCGATGCGTTTGTGTGGTTGTGTGTGTGTGAGTAGGTGGGTGTGTTGCCTCTGCTTTTGCGGCGGTTTGTGGCAAGACCGAGGCACTCTCGCTCAGCCGCGGGATGGGTTTAGTTGCCGGGGAGCCACGCCAGGTATCTGACCAGCACGCCCAGCTGGTGGGCCATGTGAATCACCGCCAGAAAATTCGCCGGTCGCCACAGATTCGTTGAGAGACCGTGCTTATTCTCCCTTTGGCCTGGAGTTTTGCAGCGTTTGACTGCTGAGTCATTGTGGTTGGGCCAACTATGTGACATTCTTGGAGAGAGGTGCAAGTGGCTTGGATTCGAAGGCACCCTTTCCCTTTCGGATCGGCAAGTGCACCCGGCGAAAGGCTACACGATGAAGCTGAAGGAAGAGATCAACCGCCTGTGCGGTGAGTTGAAGAAGGCGCAAGGCTTTGCCATTTGCTCGTGAGTTGATTTCATGTGAGCATGTTTCCAATTTGGCAACGGTTAGGAAGCAACGAATGCAGGCGAGGCAGCGCATTGTGCAGCTGGAAGTGTCCAAGGACGGGGGAGTTCCTTTGCCATAAGGCATCGTGCAAGAAATTTGCGGCTTGTTTGGGTGTTCGGACCCATGGCCGAGCTATGCCCGTGCGGTTTACCTTGGGAGTTGCAACGTGCACTGACCTCACTTATAGCATCCCGTGGCACCCCGTGGCATCCCAACTCCTTCCCTCTTGCAATCCTTTTCCATCCAAGTGAGACAGTTCTTGTCAGGATGGGCTTTATTGCACTGCTCCTTTGGACAAAAGCATCAACCTATCTCTTCATATACATATATACCAACAAAGGTGCAGGTTTCCTGGTGAAGGTATGCCAAACTGCCCCCGTTCAACAAGTGTTCAGCAAGTGCTCGGAACGACTGCCCTTGTTCGGTGCACTTGGGGCACTGACATCGAAGGAGAGCGACAGCCTCTTTGACGCCCTCGCGTAGCAGCCCGAGCTTTTGTTCGGAACTGCACCCTTTTCAGGTGTCCGAAACCCCCTACTGACCATGTGAGCAGGTGGTTCTACCGGTCCACTTGGTGAATTGGGCCTCTAGCAAGGCCAATATAAATCGTTAGATTCATATCAGTAGTTCACACAAATCAATGGGGGGAACTCGCTGTTGCTCGGTTTCAAAATCGGATTCAAAGGGCAGCCACAAGCATGCCAACCCTTAAGATGTGAGGTTCCCAATTTTGAGAGCACCCATATGGTGATATTGTAAGTCGCGGGGGAGCGCTACAGATGCTTTAGCCGAGATGGCTATGTTTTTCCTACCGCGCTTGATCATTGATTCATGCCCTTTTCATGTATTCTTGCCTGGGGTTGACGCACAGCCAGGGAGCAGAACCACAGCGACTGGAGCTCTCACAAGCATGTCATGGCAGTCTGAGCGCGCAGCCGCCAACCCGCCTGTGTCGTTCCACTCGGCTCAGCGTGCGGCTGTTGCCTTGGACGCCACCCGCAGGCACGTCTGGCCTTTTGGCGCGGGCGGGACTGCATTTGTTGTTTTCTTTTTAGCGTGTGTGTGTGTGTGTTCTTTAATATTGTTTACTTGTTCCGTGACTCAAGTGGTGATCTTGAGTCCTGCCAGTCGCTCACAGAACTACCCTTGACAGAACTGTACTTGTAGGGTATGCTACCCTGCTTGTATTCCTAGTCCATTTGGAGACTCTGAAGCCTACGTGAGGAAGATAACCAAGGGGCCCCCCGTCCCAATTAACCTTTGACGTTGTAAGGGCCCCTGTGTATGTGGGGGAGCATGCATCATTTCAAGTTCTACCTACATGTATGGAAATTGAGGGCCGTTTACGTCTATGAAGGTCAACGCCCGAGCTTCTTTTTCTTTGCAATAGAACGGCTCAACCAAATGTTCAAATGCCCTTGTGCATAGCCGTGCCATTAGCCCACATGCACCAGGAGTCCGAGGTGAAGTCATGTTGCTTTCTTCCTGCGGCAGTTGCTTAGTGGGTTGTGAGGAGGGTTGGTTTGCCCAGGAGCCATGGGGGCAGCCTGCCACTGCGCAGGCTCCGACAAAGAGGCAAGCTGAGGGGCCAACTGCAAATGGGTGAGGGGAAGTTTTGCAAGGCGGTTGGTCCGAGGCAGTCGGCCCGGCGGTTGCAATCTGGTTTTGTTGCATGTGCGCTTCCTGAACGGCTGATTTTTTGCTGGATTGTGATGTGCTTGCTCGGGATGGTCTTTAGTGCTGATGCCTCTTGGCCGTTGTGCTGGGACTGGGAGGCACTATGTTTGTTGTCGAAGTGCGCGTGGTATTTTCTAATTTTGCCCCTAAAGCCACCTCCCTGGGGGACGGATTGTAATTATCAACCCGCTCGGGACATATGCTGATGAGGGCCTTGGGGCCCCGTGGTCCATGGCAATTGTCCCGGAACTCTTTGGCATCGCACTTTCCCACCACATTCTCTTGGAGGAAAGCCAAGAACAACTGCCGATGCCATGTCCAGGTTCCACAAGACTCGGAAGCTTGTTCTGCCTTGCACAGGGACCCACCCCTTGTGCAGGTTTCCCCAGAGAAACACCCTTGAGCCACGGCTTTGTGTTGGACGACTCGCAGCGAACTGACTTCAGGTGCCCCAAAAAAGCAGGTCTTTTAGCTTGCTTTGCTTCCTGCGTATGATTTCCTACACCAGGCCGCATGCATATTCCTTGCATGTTTGATAGCATACTTCTTTTAAAGGAAGGCACAAGGGGATGGCTCATGTTGTTTGTTTTTTGATATGGCTCCTTGTTTTGCTTTGTTTTGCTTCCTTTGGGCTTTTAAGATGACTTGGCGTAATGTTCATCGGTTGGACCATGCCGCGGGTGGCAGGAGACATTTCGCGCCACTCCGCGAGTGGCCAGCGACGTGGTGAGTGTGCTGCCGGACGGGGCACCTCTTGCATCGAGTCACGAGTCGTTAAACACCTGCCATGACTCGACCCAACCCATGTTTTGGTTGATGCGTGTCTTGGGTTAGGACGGTTAGAACCCCAAAAGGCTAACAATTGATTTCCAGGCCTTTTGATCAAAAGACGGTCGCTTGTGCAGGAGCTGGTAAATTGTGTTGTTTGATTCAATTTGCCAAATGCTTGCTCAAAAACACACACACACACACATTCTATTGTCTTGTGATAGTGGCTTAGTCAATTTTCCCACATCCCCATTCTAGTTACTTTGGTGCCGGTAGCAATTATCCGGTGCTGGAGAGGCCCATGATGAATCAGGCTTGTTTTGTGTATTTGGGGAGGGGAGGGAGGGGGTGGATTGCGAGACAAACGGGGGCCCATTTCTTCAGTAGAATCCGGAAACATGAGGTGGTAGGGGTCCACGGGTGCGGTTTCCGCTCTTTTGTAGGGGGCTTGATTCCCATGTCGGGGCTGGCTATATGCCGTCGCTACAGATTGCCTGGGTGCATGTTTATTCCGTTTGTTTAGACTTGCTATTTCGACGTCGCTGGACTGGTTTCCCATGTGCTGTTGTTACATCTTGCCCGAGCACCTACTTTTCCGTCTGCTTTGAATGCTATTTTGATGTTTCTGGTTCACACGCGTCGGGGGTGAGTTGACGGTTGGCTGGGTGTTGTTGGGAGGGGGGGGTTGGCTGCAATGTTCCTGATAAACAATTGTTAGCTGGAGTGCCCCCCCCCCTTCCCCCCCCCAAAAAAAAAGAGAGGAAAAAACAAAATCAGGAAACGACAAACATCAGCAAAACACAAAAGCATACACATTCAGCTACGTTCGTGGTTCTAGTCAACGTAAGCACTCATTGCAACCAGTGGGTAAGGTGCTGATCTGGTCTAACTTCACATTGTCAAAGAACAGGCAAGGGCTTGTGACGCCCTGCATGGTACATCGGTCACCCATGGCTTTGCAATATGCACTGAATTCCGCAGGAAAAGCTAGCGGAAATTCGCCAAGCACCAACCAAAAACAAGTCTGTGAACTCACATTGGCAGACAATTCTTCGTTCTGCATTTCCAGCAGTAGATGTGTTAGACATATCCTAGTTAGCTGCTGACTGCTGAAACCGCTGCCACCCGACCGAAACCGAGAAACCGAAACGGCTGCGGATCTACTCATCAGCAAACTTTTGCTGTTCTGGTTGCGCATAGTTCATGGGTTCCTTGAAGGGTTGGCTCAAATTGTGAGGCTGTGAGGCTGCAAGCCCTGTCAAGCCAACTTCATTGTGACAGCTGGCGTAACCCCTGTGCCCTTGGCAATGACTCTTCATAAGAAGAAAAACAAGACATGGGTTGGGGTTATGGGGTTGCGTTCCTGGCCGATGTGTTCGTCCGACCCAAGTACGTGCTTTATTGCTGTACATGGCGGTGCTATGCGTCGCTTAAGGTTTCATGGGCAATATTTGTTGGAAAGTCCCACAGGTGAGCGTATCAAAGGCAGCTCTATCAACTCTGCTGGTTTCACGAAGAAGGTATTCGATTCATCCAACCTTGTCGCTTGGGCAAAGACCATTGTTATTTTCACAGGAAACTCTCAGCTAAATAATTTTACATTGCCCGTTTGCCATTGTTTGAGGTTCTTGCTTGGCAGAGCCTAGATTTCACGCCTGACATTAGCTGTCACTCGCTGGAAGGACAAGCACAAGGCTGCGGGATCGACGTGTTTGGTGGTAAGGAATTCGTTGGATCAGGGATGTCTTTAAGCTGTGCAAGTGCCAAGGGAATTTGCTTCCCAACCTCCTTCCACTCGGGGGGGCTCCACAGGGGCAACGGACAAATGTTGGGTACCTAGTGATTCGTAAAGGCCTGCGCTAGCAGTCTCCCAGAACCGCTTGGTGGTTTAGAATCGAATCGGTTTGCTGATTTAGTATTTCTTAGTTCTGACTCTTGATTGCTTTCGTAGGAGCCAGCAGTGCTGTTGTGGCTCAGCTTTGTTTTTCTGCCGGGTCATTCTTCGCGCAACGGGACAGAATCACAACCCTGCAACACCTTGTTCAGACTTGGTCCCAAGGGCCTTTAATGCAAGGAGTGAGTGAAGATCTGGACCTGCCCACGCGAATACCACCACACGAATGACATTTTGCGAGAACCTGCTCAACGCTCGGTCCTTTGATCTTTGGCCAGAGAGCGCAGCTCCAAGTGTCCAAGAAAGGCCTTCGGCCACTGGCAAAACAAGCCACTGGCAAAACAAGCCACTGGCAAAACAAGCCACTGGCAAAACAAGCCACTGGCAAAACAAGCCACTGGCAAAACAAGCCACTGGCAAAACAAGCCACTGGCAAAACAATTGTGGGTATCTTGGTTGTCCCCAGGCTGCGAGAAGCCATAAGCGTTTTGCTCGCCAGGCCAGCGCAATTTGGCCCCTTTGGCGTCCCTCCCCGTACCTGACTGATAACAGAAAAATAGAAGTGCCCATTTTGCGCACATTCTTGTTGGGAATCAATGGGATTAAGCGGCGGTTGGAATCAAGCCCAGGGCACAGAACCATTGGATATGTGTTGCAGCAAGAAGCAGGGCCACTTCCACGTCCGATAGTCCCGCTCATTCAAGAGCCTTCAGGTTTGGTTCTAGACTTATGGAAGTTGTACACTGTACACCAAGTAGAAACATGATAATATTACTCTGAAAGCTCATTGGTGCAAGCCTCCCGACCTCCAAAGGCAACCTGGAACTAGCTTGACCCTTCAGGATCTACTCAGACAGCTCCACCTGGTCGACTTGAAGCTTGGATCCCCCACCGGCCCACCTTGACATGCCTCGCAGGGGCCGGTGCCACCGGAGTTTCAGAAGCTGCAGGGCAAGTGGCGAACGGAAGCGGACAAGGCGCCCATGGGCGCCTGGGCAAAAAACAAACTCCTGGGCTTGGGACGACTGGGTACATGTCCACCAGGCATGAAGCAACCAGGTGCATATATTACGATATACACATGCAATTGCATCTTTTATTTATTTACACACACACTCACATATATATATATGTTTTGTTTTTGTTTAATAGACGTATAGATGGTTCGCTATATGTATATACATCCAATGAACAAATAAACATGTGCAACTATAACATCAATATTTATATTCGCAGCCTTCCCCCAAAAAAAGCCCGCGCCTGCTGCTTATGGAAGGGGGCCAAGTCATTTTAGACAGATATTACCAAGACTGCGCTCATTTCACAATGTTAGCAGACTTTCGCGGATTATTCATTCTGAGACTTTGCCACCCACATAAATTGCAGTTGAGCTTCTACGTTCTGAACAGATTGTTCGTTGTATTCCTCCTCTTGGTCTCTTTCGCAATCAAATCTTACATATTCTAGTCATAAGCTCAATCTATTTCAACACAACTTAATTGGACAACTAGCATCATAAGCAAAGTTTGGTACAGTGTAAAAGCGAAGTGAGGCAACGTGGCATATTACACAGGGTCTAGACCATAATGTGTCATACGTTGTCTAAGTTTAAGGTCTATGTGAGGTAGGTTTTGAAGTGTTCCAGAGGGTTCTTGACGGAGAGTTGCGGCGACATTTTAGACGATGACGGGTTAGGGCGACGGGTAGGGTGACGAGTGAGTGCGACAACGGCGGCCAGTGTGACGGACAATGTTGACAATGACGAATGGCTCGACGGGCAAGGGCGACGATGACGGATGGGGCGACGGACGGTTTTGACGAAGATCAGCGGGGCACGGATAGGACGACGGACAGTTTTGATGATGGTTGAGCCAGACAATAGACGGCAGCCAGGCGGCCAGGTTGACGTGTTTGCCAGCCCATCCATGGCTCTCATCATGGCATCAATCTGCTGCGCTCTTGCTCGCTGTCAGTCGGATTTTCGACAGTCGCGATCGGGACCAAAAAGCATGGCGGCCGCGACCGTCGCCGCAAAGCGGACAAGGGGCCGAGCCGACAACGCGAAATGAATTGCAGTTTCAATCGGCCACTGGCCATAGCTGATCGACTTTGACAAACTCTTGAACAATTAGATGGAGACATGTAGACATGTCGAAGTCAGAGGTTGAAATTGCGAAATGAAGCTACTTCTGAAAGTTCTCTTCCTTTGGCGTGATAGCCTGCAGCCTCAACAGCTGCCTGCCTGCAACCGACGGCACAAACAAGTCCAGCATGACGGCCAAATCTCACGACTTGACATGCGTGCTGACATTGGGACATACGGACTGTTCTATTGGGAAGTTTGCGTGCTAGTTGAGGCGCTAAGATCTGAATGGCAATTTTGAACACAACCGTGAGCCGGACCACGCCGTCAATGGCCTCGACGAAGATCTGGTCTTCGGCTGGCAGGGCGCTTCATTGTGTTAGTCTCACTCTGGTTCACGGCCGTGATCCTAAGCGTGCAGTTAAAGACATACTGGCTCACAAGGCCAAAAAAGAGGCAGGCTGAAGCAAACGCTACAATGATAAATCCAATAGTCATGGTGGGTCCCAGCGGGTCTGACCGAACGAACGCGTATATTTGGGCTCTTTGTTTTTAAAGCCACCAGAGCTAGCGCCTGGTTCATCCAGCTGAGACAAACAACAGAAACAAAAACATAGCTCTGCGAAGGCCAACATCGCAAGCTAGTAGGGCTGAACTCGCGCCACGCAAGTAAGGCAACTGCAGGCGATGGCGACAGGGGCTGGATATGAAGCGTAGCTTGCGTTTCCTGAGGCTGCGCGTGTCGTCGGCTTAGCCACCGGACACGTGGACCTGAGTGAGATTTGCCCACGCAAGGCCCATTTCGCTGCTCTGCAAAGAGTATAATTGAGGCAAGGGCGGTGCGCGCAGCCTACGCAGGAACCTGGCAAGCAGAATTGCAATGCAAGCGGAGGCACGCCGCAAGTGTGAAAGATTTCGATCTTGCAGCGGGCTGCCCTGGCCGCATGCTGGCAATCGGAGATTTGCAGACCGAGACCACGCCGGCCAGCGCAAAGACATGTGTTGCGTGTCACTTCCGGCCACGTGTCTCCTCGGCAGACTATGAAGAGCAGACGCTCCAAGTCGTGGAATTTGGCCGTCATGCTAGACTTGATTGTGCTGTCGGTTGCAGGCAGGCAGCTGTTGAGGCTGCAGGCCATCACGCCAAAGGAAGAGAACTTGCACAAGTTTTCACTTTTTATCGCTTCATCTCGCAGTTTCAGCCTCTCACCTTTGAAAGTCGATCAGCTATGACCAGTGGCCGATTGAAGCTGCAATTCATTTCGCGTTGTCGGCTCGGCCCCTTGTCCGCTTTGCGGCGACGGTCGCGGCCGCCATGCTTTTTGGTCCCGATCGCGACTGTCGAAAACCCGGCCAACAGCGAGCAAGAGGAGGCGCAGCCACGATGAGAGCCATGGATTGGCTGGCAAGCACGTCAGCCCGAGTGACTGCGCCATTCGATCAAGACCCCTTTTGACTAGGTCAACGCATGTCCACGCGCAAGATGCGCCAAGCAAACTTGATCAAGCCTGTGACTTGTAGAGAAGATCATTGAGATGGAAGCAGAAGCCAAGCAGCCACGTTGCGCGAAGGGAACAAGCAGCCATAGTTGCAGTTGCGGGCGCCAGCCCTGTCGCCCATTGACAGTTCCTTCTTTCCTCCTTTTAATCCATTTTCTTTTTTATCGGTTTGAGGCGGTTTGTTTGTTGTTGTCGACGCTGTCGTCCGTCGCCGCCGTCGCAACCGTCAACGTCGTCCGTCGCCGTCGTCGCAACCGTCAACATTGCCACGTTTCCTGCCACGTGTTATCGTCGGAGCCGTCGTCGTCGTCGCGGTTCCCCGTCGGGTGGGTTGCCATGCGCCCCCGTCATGATTCCAGCTGGGAACCACACATAGACATTAAACTTAGATAAGTCATACGTATATCTCTGAAGTCTTCAAACATGTCAGCCAAGGAAAACAGATACATTTTGTTTTGGCATAGTTTTTATCGCTAATGTTATCCTCGCTCAATTGACTGTAAAACATCTCTCTGCGGGCACCGGCTCAAGTGTATCAAACAGAAAGGCAGGCCATACCCCTTCTGCTTCGCCTACATATCTTCGACAACTGATGTGCAAATCCTCTTCGTTTGTCAACTTACCAACCTGTGGCAGTACCAAAACATCTGCTACGCATCCTCCATCTCTCATCTCAAGTCATCTGCGAATCTTCTTCGTCTGTCAGCTCACAAACCCGGGCCAATACCAAGACATTTGCTCACACCTCATATGCCCTGACCAATGCCACGCAGTTTGCTACAAGAACTAATGCTAATGTCCGTGAGCAAAATATGTTATGCACAAAACCTGCTAAACAGCATGCAAAGCAGTGTATTTGTAGCGTGTGTGAATATCCAAGTTGGTGTGGAGTTGTTTAACTCATCAAAACACATACCCAACGTCCATATGCTGAACTATCTGCTGTATTTACTGCGCGCAAGTCAACGGATGATAAGGTGCGCACGCACCCAAACTAAATGACTGAAAGCAGACGCTTTAAAGCGCTTTAACGCTCTTGGATCTAAGATTCAAGATTCAAGATTCTGAGGACTCTCAGCTTGAATCTTGAATTCAGTATGTGACCCTCCCCCCCCCCCCCGCCCCCGCCTCCCCAAAAGGCTTCAAAGCGCTTCAACGCACTTTAACTGGATTCAAGATATAAGATTCTTGAATCTTGGATCACCAAGTGCTTGAAAGCGCGTTAAAGCGCTTTTTAGCGGATTGGGGGGGTGTCCCACACTGGATGCAAGATTCAAGATCTAGAGTCCTGGGATTTTTGAATATTGAATCTTAGATCCACGTGTGTTTTAAAGAGCTCTAAAGCGTTTTAGGTGGATACAGTCACAGTCAAATGTCAGCAGATGCGGGCATAGTTAAATGCTCAAAATGGGAGTGTCTGAAAAGGGGGTGGAAATCGCGCAAAGTACTGCAAATACCGTGAAATTATCTTGGTGTTGTTTTTCCCTTTTCTTTTTTTGGGGGGGAGGAGTACCAGATATACATATTTATGTATATATATATAGGGATACATACATGTACGTGTGTTTAAGTTTGTCTTGTCTCCCCCATGACAAGATCCCAGCTGATCCCATGGCTTCTCTTTTGGTCAAAACGGGCGGCGTGTGGGGTGGGGCACGTCTATGGTGAGTTTCTCACAGCCACTTGTGTATGTGGTTTGCTGTTCCGACAGATCCAAATGAACCTGGAAGCCCAAAACCATCATTTTTGGAGGTGCTACTTTTTGGAGTACCTTCTTTTGGAGCTGTATGTTTTCTGTGCATCGGGGCTGGATCCCAATTGTTTTTGGCCTTCACCTGACCGTTTTCCACTGGTTTCGGGGTGTTGCGATTATTCTGGGCAAATCGGCACTTCAGCAAAGATAATTGTCCATACGACCCGTGATGAACGTTCCTTCCATACCGCAACCCGTTTGTGATTTGTGAGTTTTGAATGAATCTGATTCACCACTGTCAACTCAACCCGAAACACGTGGGTACAGATACAGTGGGTGGCCAGCCAACAATGAATTTAGCACAAGGGCATCGACCGACACATTTCATGCTGAACTCACACTGATTTTCAGCTCGGCTAAGGTGAGATTATTGGAGCCACCATCGTGTGGGACAAGATGTTCAATCTGGAACAGTCTTTGTTGAAGTGACCAGGCTGCAAGACGGGGCTTGGGCCTAGCAAAGGTAACGGAGAGCAGCCAGGATCGGCATCCAAGGTTCAAGCTGGCACCAGCTTGCGACAAGGTACCACTTTGGCGGCGCCATGGTTTGTTGGCACAATTTCCAAGTAGGTGCTCCAAAGATTGGTTTGTTCCTTTTGAGAACCAAGGGCCCTCGTGGGGGTGTTTTGTGGGGCCCCAGAATCCAGCAGCCGGCAGTGCCCAGGTTGACAGCGGAAGGAGAAATCGAGATGCGGCTGAACGACGCCGTGCACAAGGATTCGATCGGTTGCGGTCTTCGGCTTTCAGTAGCGACGCCTTAGCACCCTGTACATTAGAGCTGCGCACGATATATAAGTTAGAACAATTTAGTGCAATTTTAAAATCTGTCCTACGCTTTCCAGCAGACCCAAAGGAAGGCACTTTTTTGAGGGGGTGTAATGTTCAGGTGGATTATATAGGAACGCCCTTTCATGTGGGAAAGTGAGCAGCATGAAGACAATAGTTGCTAGCAGTCATGCTGACCAGTCTCCTAGCGCATGCTGCCCTAGAGGCGGCGGAGATGTTTTGCAATCAGGTTCTGTCGGCATGGTTATCCTATTTGGTCAGTTGCTTTGTGCTCCAGGGGGGAAGTGTGGCATGTGCGGTGGGGCATCATGTGTGACAGAGCGCAGGCCAAGTGTGACTCCAGCGGGTCTCGGCTTGTGTGGAGTGACGGCGAGGTGTGGGTCACTTGACAGCATTGAATGGTGCGCTGTGTGCCTTGCAACGGCCCTGGTGACAGCCCAAAATCTGGCGCTTTGTGTTTCAAAATGTCCGCTCAATCAGGCCAATCAGACTTCGGCCTCCCGCCATTGACCCACAGATTTCGCGCTTCGTTGTTCGTGTCCCTTCCCGCTTGCCGTGAGGTCCGGAAATAACACCAGCCCTTTGCTCAGTCCTTCGCTATGCACGGAGGAGGGCTAAGCCTGGCTGAGAATGGAAATGCTGATTTGCACAGTTGGTTGAATGTAGATGCACAATTTCCCATTTTGGTTTGGTCGTTTCTGCTTAGCCGCAATTGAGTTGTGACATATGCGTTCACCGTCACCTGACTGTACATGTAGTTATCACATTCGTGTTCGTGACCGAATGTGCGCACCGCGTCGCTCTGCGAGGCCAAAAGAAAAACGTGGCTCAGCGCCATAGGTGCCGCCAGCTGAACAAAAAGGTCTCACCTGCTTCGGTAATCGCCGGAGGGTCCAGCAATTCATTTGGGCATATAACGAGCTGATCCGGAAGTAAACTGAGCGAGCTCACCTATGAGGATCTTTGGGAATTCCTTATCTCCGGTTTGGGAATGCCAGTAATTTGCCCAGATTCATGGGGCCAGGTCACGCTTTCGCCACTGGCAGGCTTTTTGTGATTGAAGTGATTTGAAGTGTTTGAGATCGGTTAATTGTGGCTGGCTTGTGCTGTTGTTGCTGTCAAAGGTTGCGGACCTGGCACCAAGTCGGCTTACATCGGCTTACAGTTGATCGCCACTGCAGGAACCGGTCGCTAGAATTCAGATTCATAGTTTCATGCCACTTCACGTGCTTTGCAATGTGAAATTGCAAGGGATAGAAGTATGCCTGGAAAATAGGGGCCTCTGCTTGGAAAATAGTGACCCTCGGTGATTGGCATGTCTTTTGGTTTTCGTTTAGCCACTCTGAAAAAGCTTTCCAACTTAAAGCACTCATAGTTACATTGCACTTTACATTGCGTTAGGTAACCTACACACACTCATACACAGGCCTTTTGTGAATTGGGTCATGGGCTTTAGCAAAATATTCACGCGGTTTCTTCCCCAAATACGTGCCATCCGAAACAGATACCCGACCGGTGAGCAGTGGAGGAGATCAGCCTTTGCGGGTTATCGGGTCAATGAGAAGCAGCCAGACGCTGCGAAGCCGCGTAGCCCAGAGCCCATCACCTGAAAGCGCTGCGGGTCCCCGGCACAAGCCGCGGGGCCAACTGATTCGCGACAGGGAAAAGGCCCGAGCAGTCAAATGTTCTCAGCCTAGAGGACCCTAGGCTCCAGTTGCTACAAGTCATTTGGCGCATTGTCCTGCTCTTTATGGGGAAAACACGTAGAATTGTGCATGAGTTTGCCCATGTGACGCTCATTTATCCTTGCGCCTTCGACCGTAACTTTGTGTCTCAGGTCAGTGGTTGGTGAGCGCTGGGCTAAGATGCTGGATGGGCACATGGGCCTATCCGAAAACGGGACTGAACGTGGAACAAGTCGCCGTTATATTGGGCCGGCATGTCTGACTCGTGATGGCTGAGCTCCATGCAGTTGATGTAAGTTTGTTAAACATTGGGTGCGACTTGGGATATTCCTGATATGCGTACATCCTTCTACAAGTTGAAGTTCAAGGGAAGTCAAGCAGCGCGCTGTCCGTAGGGTTGAACAGTGCTGAGAAGTGTCACGCAATCAGTCGTCAGCAACCGGGTTACCTTTCACCCTATAGTAGACCAGGCAAGCAAAGGGTTGCTGTGAAAACTTTGAATGGCCCCCCAACTCCGTGCTCGGCAAAGCCTCTGGGACTACTGGCCCTTTGTCGATAAACTCTGGGTCCATACACCTGAGGGCACGCCCCATAAAAGCAGTGACTCCACGTTGGTCGCCAGATCCAACTGTGTTGAATTCCACGGCTGTCCACAAAAGAGAAGGTGCCATGCCTGGGCATGTTTTTCTTTTTGTTGGTCTCAAGCGAGAAGTCGGCAACATATTGATTTTGAGGCCTGTTGCTTCCCAGCTTCTTGGCAGCATGTGCCGTTGGGGCATATTCCCACCTTGCTTGGCCCAGGCGTCCCAAACCACGCGGCGCCCGCACGGCGGCCTAGTTCGGCCCCTGCTCGGCCGATTCTTTGCGGCAGAGCGATGGTAGTATGGTCATTTCAAGCATCTAGAATAACCCCCCCCCCCAACCACACATGCGTATTTGACTTGCTTTTGGCAGGCCCCCCTTTTTGTGTGAGGTAACTTGTGGGGCTACCCAAGTCCTGGTTGATGCCAACGGCAATGGAAGCGTTTGCATCAGCCAAAGGAATCTTGTTCACTTTTCGCTCGGTTGGTTTATCGCTAAAACCATCATTTGTTCGGCCAAAAAGGGAACCTGGACCCTCAAACTACCTTTATGCCAGTTGCCCCTGATCCCGGGCCATTCCAACGAGGCCTGTCGGTGCGGCCTCGCCGTGCTCCTGGTCAGCGAGCCTAGCTGCGCCCGGCTGTGCGCTGAGTCGGACCTCGGTGTCACTTGGATAAGGCAAGACCACGAGCAGAGTCCCCGGGACTCCCGATGGCGAAGCTCGCGGGGGGTCCAAGCGGCAAGGTCGGGAGCTTGTGTTGTTGAGGGACTGCCTTTGATTTCCAACTGTGCTTCGACATGTTGGAACTGCTTGCAGTGCGGTGACTGTTCAGCTCCTTGAACCACGCCAATATAATCATACTGGACTTGATCGTGCAATTGCTGTCTGATTGGTTGAAGCGCTTGCACTTTATGGAAGCCCAACTGATTAAATGACCATGGAAATTTATGCGGCACAACCATTTCCGGAGGGGATCCAAAACTGAAGAAACACAACTCAGTCAATCCACCAGCTTTAAGAAGTCGGGCTCAACATCAAGATGAGAGGCCGACAGGGCAGGCAAGCATTTGGCCCGCTACATTCTTGTTGGCGGGGGCACAGGAGCATTCCTGAGGCTCGGTCAGAAAATCAAGTAGGCTTTGGGCAATTTGAGAGGGGGGGGACGGAAGGTATGCAGGCCCAGACTAATTTCGACCAGAGCTCACCAACTCATATGCGAGAGATGATGGAGCATGTTTAAAGACACGGGCAAAGCAACTCTGTGCAGTTGCAATAGGCAAAAGGTGCCGCAGCAAGAAGGCGCTATATCACTGCAGGCCTGGCAGAAGCGGAGCAGCTTTGCATGCTGCAGCAGAGCGCTCTGGATCGAATCAGCTGCGGCCCGAGCTGAGTGCTGCCGTAGCCATTCCCAGGTCAGTGGATTTCACCAAAACAGCTCAGCCCCAAACGGCTCAGCCGTTCCAATTCCTTTTCTAGCAAGGTCAGACTGGTGAGTTTTTATTTGATTCAGCACGAAACATGCCTGTTGCACGGTTCATGTTCGTCCATGTAGCACTTTCTTTTTGACATGCCTCAGGGGACTAGGATGACATAAGGCAAGGCCATCCCTGTTTTGCATGTATGTGACCACGGCTTGTGCGAGTTGTACTACAGCACCCTATCTCATTTTTGGAGGACGTGTGGCCCACATTTTGGCAGCACAATCAGCTCAATCGAGGCATGGATTTCCAGCACCTGAAGGCCGAGAAAGTGGGCTTTGGGCTTCTGGTCGCCACTTGACCGGCGCCAATTTTCTTTGTCGATCAACCGGGGGCCGTTGTTCCCATGCCGCAATCTATGGCGTCGTTCGGAGGATTTCTCTTTGACTCGATGCGCAAATTTCTGAAAGATCAGCCCCCAACTCTCCAGCTTTCACATCTTAGAGCTCCAGACATTGCAGGCCCTGATCGAGCGGGCTGTGATGCTGGCCGACACCGAGCGACGCAATGGCACGGACCTCGCGGTTGGGACATCGTTGGAGCCAGAACCCTTTGTCATTTTGAGGGTTTGCCATTTGCCCACCACAACATTGCGTGGCAGTTGAACGGGATGGCCACGGGTACATGGCATAGCCTTTAACAGATTCAAGCTTTGGACATCGCTTTGTGGTCTAGTTTGAGGCTATGCTGAGGGAAAGCGGGGGATGTTTTATGCATATGCTGCACTTCAATTTGACAGTTCTGAAGTTGAAACTGGTGTGAAGCTGCTTGTGCACTGCCATGAAACGAGGGTTGTTGTAATACCTATTGCCTCGGCCTGGAGAACCCATGTTGCCCAACGCTTCTGAAGCAGTGGCCAAGATAAATCCGCGCCTGAAGATGCAGGGCTCACCGCCGCCCACGCGCAGGCAACAAAGGGCCCCGGTTTGTGTCACTGTTACTTGGGTGGAGCAGTTTTCTCGTGAGGAATTCAAAGAAGAAGTGCCTTTTCATGCATCATGGCCTCAATAGTTTCTCACCGTCCACTGCGCATGGGTGCCCATCGGCAAATTTGCCAGGTATCGAGGGTGGCAACTTTGCCGCCTTGCTGCACCGCTTGCGTGGAGCTCGGCCGGGCTCACGCCCCTTTTGACCAACACCACCTGCAAAGCGATACTCCACATGAAGATGCGACCAACAAAATGGGCCCCAAGCTGAGAATCCTCCTAGAATAGGTAGGGACATGCCCCCGGACAAAATATAAGGGTTCCAGGGTGTGTCAGGTTTGTCAACCATTGGATTGTCTCATGACCAGCCAGCGTATTGGCAGGGATCAATTGTGACATGTTCAGCCTTTGGTGGTTTCTCAATGGCCGACTTTATGCCATGGGATCCATGGGCATTGAACGACAGTTACCGCCCCACGCCTCTTGGGCAGCGGCCGTAGTGTTTTCCAAGAGCAAGTTGCCCGTTGAGTTGCCCTCCTTCCCGCTGGAACTGACGGAAGCAAGTCTACTTCGGTTTTAGGGAACCTCCCTATTTTCTTTCGTGATTGCCGGAATGAGGCTAGCAGTTCGGTTTGCCGGTATGTTCTTCATGAATTGCTAGAGGCCAAATAGCTTGTTTGTGCAAAGCCGGCAAGCGAGCAGCTCAGCAACTCACAAGTGCTCAAGTAGTTGGAGCCACGAGGGTGCAACAGAACAATTTGGAAGATGGCAACACGTCGAGCATGAGGTCAGCAGTCATGTCTCTATGTGTTAGCCTTCCTTGGTCTCAGCGCATGTTCGTTATATGACCTGAAGCACGGCCGCAAAGCAAAGCGAACTCCAAACTGGGGCTCATGGGCC